CAGATATTTTGTTCTACTACTCTTCTAATCCATTACCATTGGACATGCTGACTGGGACTTTTAAAAAGGAAACTGTCACATTCCTTGTTATGGTTAATATCCAGAAATGAAAGGTGTTGCCCTACCATTAGTCAGTGAGTATCAACTGCCTCAGACAGCAAGTGGCAACTTCCCCTGACCTTTCTCTTCGCTTCTCTTGGTAAGGCAGAGCTGTGTGTGTTTCCACTGCCCCTCCATAGTCAGGACACACATGGCCTTAGTAGCAAGCCTGAAGTAAGATGTAGTTGCAAGTCCAGCTTTCTTCTGTGTTTGGAATGGGCAAGGAGCGCCATTTTGTCCTTTGCATTGAGTAGTAGAATTTATTCAGCCAGTGTTACTAGAGGGTACCCATTTTGATCCAGAAAAGAAAAGGTTAAGTCACTTCCCCTGATACTCTTGGGCTGATCAAATGGGAACCTTCTGTTGTAAATAGGGAAATATACTCACGCACCACCCGTACTCGCTCATTCAGCTGCATGTAGTCTTCTTCAGTCACAGTTTAAGAATGTACACAGAGCTCCTCCAGGTGGCAGGAGAAAAAATGCAGCACAGATTCTCCTCCAAGCATCCAATGCTAAACTTAAAAGAAATGTTGAGGGACCAATCCCACTAGTAAAAACACACCCCTGTTTAAATCGAGTTCAGCATATTTTACATCAATTTAAATTTGGGCATTTACATGAGGTACATGGACACACGGAGTAATGTGACAGGGGAGCAGGTTTTTCTACTTCGTTGTCAGAGGTCTGTTTATTTTAAGGCAGATGTGGATTGATTCACTAAGATCAATTCTGCATATGTGAATGCCCCTATCCGTATTATTTTTTAAAAATTCCTGCTATTGGATACAGCGCTAAATCAGTTAACAGGAATTTTAAAAAAATAAAACCATTGTGGCTACTTGCTGGAAAAACTGGCACTGTGCCAAACAGCTGATTCCCAGCCACCAGTCAGCCAAGCCTTGCCTTCCTTCCCTTCCCTTTCAGCCCCCTGCCTTCCTACCTTTCCACTCTGTCCCTCAACTTACTTCCTCTTATCCCCTCCAAATCCTTTCCACCTTCCATTCCTTCAGTCACCTATCTCCCTGCAACTCCCACCCTCACCCTTTGCCTCTTCCCCCCTTTCCCCTGCTCCTCCTCTCTCTTTCTCCCCTCTTTCCCTTTCTACCCCTTTTCCACCCCTTCCCACCTCTTTTCCCCTATATCTCATTCTCCTCCCCCCTCCTAGACAGCACTCTCCCTGCTGAACAGAGCCACCTGCCCAGAGGTGGTAGCGGCAGCAGTGAGGATGCACCCACCAAAACATAATGTGAGCTTACACCATTTTTTAAAAAGAAATCCGATCCCTCTCTGGATTTATTTTATCAGTGGGATCAGGCTCTCTCAGTGATTGGGTGGCACAGACTGGTGTGAGCTACTTTCCGGCAGTCACACAAAGCATTTTTTTAATCCAGCAGGGCTACCTTTGTGTGACCTGGGCTGGAGTGGTTCCTATAGGGACAGAAGGGTTGCTTTAAAGGAAGCTGATCCCAGGGAGGAGACCCTTTCCAGCCCAATCAGATGTGATGCTTTCTCACGATCTGATTACCCTCTTAGCCCATTAAAGGAGCACACGTCTGAGCAATACAATTTTTCTGCACTGTCCATGAAGTTGTGGTGCTTAGCTGGAAGAAATGGGATTCCCCCTAAAAGCTTGCAGTTTGATTTTTGTAGCTGTCCAATAAAAAGTATCACCCACTCTTAATTTGTGTTATCCTGGAGACAACACAGCCTTTTCTTTATCTCTTATGGACCAATTTGAATAGATGTTGCCCATTTGTTCAATTGCAAGAGGTCAAACATAGAGCTGAACAAGCAACATGCAGGTTGCAAATTCACTTACAATATTATTATATTCCTTCTTGAAATCACCATATCCTTCCAGAGTTTTTGTGCAGCATATATCACCCTTGCAGAATAGCGAAGTAAAATATAATGTTAAGCCTCAATGTTTTCCCCTAAAGTATTCATTTTCAAGGTGTGCACATCACCTAGATAACATATTCCCATGTGCACTGTACAAAATTCAAAATGAGAAAATGCTAAAGCTAGACGCTAAATGAGCAAAAGCTCCTACCATTAGACAGATAGGTAAAAGCAGCAACATCAACAGCAGAAAAAGTGAGTGCTGATGCTTTCAAGAGGTCTTTAAACCTACCTTAAAACTACCTTTCAAAACTCACCAAATAGACAGGAGAGTAAATTGGATTTCATCTGGTGTCCATTGATTTTGCAGCTCTGTGCCTCTACAGCAAGATTATGACTTCAGACAGGTATTTCATCCCTGGAAATGTACTGCCTGGCTGCACGCCGTCAGATATGGGACTAAAGTGTTATACGCTGATGCTTCAGCAGGATATTTACACCTTCTGCAGAAAGATGTCCACACTAATTCCTGGTTAAAAGTTTTTCCTACTAAACTGCATTTGGTAGGTTTATCTGTGGATTTTCTCCATGCCTGTGAGCTCAAGGGAGTTAAGTCTATCTTAGAAAAACAGCTTAAGGATATTGATTTTCAGTATTCCATATTAAATGCCCACAAAACCTGCTCACCTTTGCATTTGGGTTTTAACTTTGAATTCCTCCAAAGTGCTAAGTATCTGGAAGATATGGTCATCCCAAAATCCTGGCAGATCTTTTCAAGACCCAAATTCAACTGCCTTCCATCTGCAGTTTTATCATGGTGCACCATATGAAAATCGATTACATGCCTGTAGTGACAAAGAAATTGTTTTTACAGGGATGACCATATCAGACTCATTAACTCTGTAATGAGAGATTTCCCAAGTAAGACCTTGGATTGCTTTCTAAAATATTTTTGAGTTGATATGAATAATCCCATTAAAATTAGTGACCAGGTTTCTTGTTCTGCACAAAGAACACGTAAGATCATTCTTGCCTCTGTGTTTAATATTTATTGTTTTGCAGTTGTGCCCATCCAATTTTAAACTGTTTTTAATCATTTCTGAATTTTTCAAAAATCTATTTTATTGGGTCTGTGACCAATAAAGATTGAAAATTGATTCTGCAATTCAGAGTCCTCTTGCCAAAATATACTTTGTCTTGTAGAAACTTCCAAACCCCATTCTATTAGAGAACCTTGAGAAAGACTTCTAAATATGGCCATAGACATTGGCTAGATAAATATGAACAAATGTTATCAGGTATGCTCTCAGAGCACATGTGTGCTTTCACAAATGTTCAGAGACACACCGACAAGGGATCTTTGAACTATGGCAGTGGTGTGTTTTGGCATAGATCAGGGCTTAATATATCACATTCACACATAAGGGAAATTTTATTGAACACAAAAGAATTAAAATACAGTATAGCATAGATTCACAATGAAATATACAACTAGTATGAGGGAATACAGGCTCAAAAGAAGCAAACTTTTGAGTTGCATGACTGCAATTTGCATGACTGAGAGCATTCAAAGGAAGGACCTTTCCCTAAATTACACACACACTTGAAGGGGGGTTAGATTGAGGAGCCAACCATGTATGGAGAAAATACTCAGAGAAGATGGATAAGAGTGGCAAAGATTATCTCTCCTTAATCTGGTTAGACTGTTTTGGGCCAATGGAGTGGTGGAACCCCAGCTAGCAGGATCAGCTGAAGGGTTCCGGCAGAGACACGGCAAGAAAATTCACATAGAAGATTCTCCCCAACCCCCAGCCTGAACTACTTAATACCTGAATGACTAATATGGCTGTTGTATGCCTTTTATGATTTTGGCCAGGCTGGCTAGTGATCTTGTGTCCCGCCTTGCCTTGTCGGTTCTCTTTCCACCTGGCCAATCCAGAGATAATGGACATAGAATGATTAGGCATCCTTCAGTCTCGAGAGACTATGGTAACATGCTCTGTATGTAGGACTTAGAACAGCGTCTAGTGTGGCTGAGAAGGCCGTTTCGAGAGTGACAATCCCTTCCACACTGAAGACAAATACTGTACAATCTGTCCCCTGTCCAGCTCCCGGATTTTGCTGCTTTTGGGACTGCCTCTTTGCCTTGGCCTGCTGGACAAGGGCCTCTTCAAATTGGGAGAGGCCGTGAGGCAACGCCTGCCTCCAGGCTGAACACTCAGATGTCAGGGTTTCCCATCTGTTGAGGTCCATTCCTAAGGCCTTCAGATCCCGCTTGCAGATATCCTTGTATCGCAGCTGTGGTCTCCACCGGGGCGATTTCCCTGCACTAATTCTCCATGCCGGCCACAGAGACTGGCGAAACCTCAGCAAGAACAACCTTCAGAACATGGCCAAAGAGCCCGAAAAACCCACAACAACCTCCAGATAATCTTTTAAGCATAAAAACAAGAGATGGTGAATATATTTACCTGGCCAGTTCTAAAGGAAAGTTATTCTGTGGGATGAGTCTTTGTCTATGGCCATTCATGTCTTACCTAATGTTGATGGGGGTTGTTTAGATCTATATTGCTGTCATTTCCTCTTTCGGGGTGAAGCTGACCTTTAGACCTGAGGCTAGACCTTGCTTGCCACTGTATTTAACCTATGCTTGCCCTTGACAGAACAAGTATTCATGTTAAAACAATTTATGGCTTTCACATCCATGTCTTAGAAAAAGTGAGAGTCTGCAGGGGTGTTGTCCAAAGTTGGCCAGTTTGGTAACAGGAACTGGTCCTATGCCAAGCTTAAGGTTTTATTATGTTTTAATTACATTATCTACTATCTATAGACTGAAGTTCTGTAAAGTTTCAGGAGTTACATGGGTGGCTGAACTAAGTAAATTCTGAATAAATAAAGCAATTGCATATCTTTATCTCTCCAGGATTTAGCATTTATGATTACTGGCATGCAGAAAGGAGCATTTCTTTATACCTATGTTAGTTGTACACATATATATGTTATCAGTCCCTCCCATCCTGTGCCTTTTTTGTAAATAAGTATCTTCTCCAATCACAGGCAACAAGATGAACATTTCTGCAAATTATGATTATATGAGCACCACAGAATTTTATTACGATGATACAGCAACACCGTGTCCAGGTGTCACTGTCCAAGAATTTGCTTCCCGTGTTCTGCCACCACTTTACTCTTTCGTGTTCATATTTGGCCTCCTGGGAAATGCACTGGTTGTGCTGATCATCATCAGGTACAAGAAGCTCAAGAGCATGACCGATATCTACTTGCTAAACCTAGCCATCTCCGATTTGCTCTTTATAGCCTTACTCCCTTTCTGGGCTTATTATGCTGCACATGAGTGGGTATTTGGAAATGCACTGTGCAAAATTTTATCTGGACTCTACCTCACAGGCTTCTACAGTGGAAACTTCTTCATCATCCTTTTGACCATTGACCGGTACCTAGCAATAGTCCATGCAGTGTTTGCCTTAAAGGCCAGGACTGTGGTCTATGGCATTCTCACCAGTTTCATCACATGGGGTGTTGCAATTTTAGCCTCTGTGCCGGGTCTTGTCTTTCACAAATTACAAAGAGAAAATGATCGCTGGACATGCACACCTCACTTTCCACTTGATACTCAAATCCAATGGAACCAGTTCATGACCCTGAAAATGAACCTCATAGGCCTCATCTTTCCAATGATTGTGATGACTGTTTGCTATTCACAGATCATAAACACCCTGATGAGATGCAGGAACGAGAAGAAGAACAAAGCGGTCAGACTTATTTTTATCATCATGATTGTTTATTTCATCTTCTGGGCCCCATACAACATTGTTCTTCTGCTCCAGACCTTTCAGATCTCATTCTCCCTCAACACTTGCGATGGCATTAGTAATCTGGGTATTGCAGTACAGGTGACAGAGACATTAGCGATGGCCCACTGTTGCATCAATCCTGTGATCTACGCTTTAGCCGGCGAGAAGTTCCGAAAGTATACTTGCAGCTTTTTCCAAAAGCACGTTGCTCTCTGTCTCTCAAACTACTGCCGGTTTTTGTACTCTGAGCCGCTGGAACGTGCCAGTTCCACCTACTCTCATTCTACTGGGGAGCAAGACATTTCAGCGGTGTTGTGACGGATGCCCAGAGAAAAAGGGAAAATAACCTTTACAGATGCTCCTCCTCAGACAATTCTTCATACTGGACTCTTATGAGGTTATAAAAGGTCACACATTTATGACAACATGCAGTTTTTATGCTAAAAACTAAGTTTTAGCTTGGATGGATTTTTACTTTGTTTCTATCAGTTGCCAGGCTGTGTGACATACCAGTGTCACATACAATGAAGCTGGTATGATAATTAATATCATCAGGCGTTTAGGAAATAACAGAGAAAAAGAAACACTTGTACAAGCAAGTCATATGTCTTATATTTTGTAGACTTGGAAAGTATTATTTAATGCAGGACAACAGTTTGTCAAACTTTATCCAAAGCAAATGGTGCTGTAAGACGTGTCTTTGTATTTTCTGCAATATACTAATCTGACTATCCTCTGGAAATTGTAAAAATTAGTTTTCTTAGATATATTAAAATTCCTCAGAAAGGTGAGCAATAAGTTCCTTCTAAATATAATGAATGTCCTCTCGCCATACTTTGTCAGCCAGCAAAGCATTTGTCGGCTGAGTCCTGTATTAAGTCATAATGCTGGTAAGAGAGTGGACAGATTGGTGCCATTCACACAACTACCCACCCCATTCACAGACTTGCCACACACAGCATCTCATCCACAGACACATTGATATACACCAATATTCACGCATATATACTCACCCCTCCCCTACTCATGCATATTCAGACACTTCTCACAAAGTTATACTCAACTACTCCATTAACAGAAGCAAAAATATAGATACACCCACACACCATTCCCACTCACATTTACTTTCCACACACATAAACACAAACAACAATCCTGTTTACAAAGACATGCAGACATTACCGCACCCCTTGCTGCTCTCTCTGGATCCCTTGCAGATCTTTAACTCTCCTGTTCTCCTCATCCCATTTTCTCTCTACTCTTTTCTTAGTTCCAGAATTCTTCCCTGCTACATGAGATCTGGGTTCCAGAACCTCCCCATGGCACTTATCCAGTTCTCACATCCAGATTTGCTGCCCTCTCACATTTATACATTTGCCCTCTGTTGTCTGGGTTCGCACCTCCTGCAGCAGCTCCTCCTCCTCTTCCCTCTTCAGGAGGACAAAATGACCATAATTCCTTGAATATGCCTAGATTTTTTAATGTGATTGTTTAAGACTGTTTACTGTCCCACCCGTTTTGGCTTTGGCTTGGCCATGGCTTGAGATCTTGGGCAAAAGTGGTATCAGCTTGTACTGTATATGGCAGCCATGCAGAAGTGTTTTGATACATGTCCTTTCTGGTGCCAGTTCTCCCACTCCTGTGACTGCACCCTGCATGATGCTTAAAATTTTTTTAATGAGAGAATGGAGCTTTCTGCTGTTCAGAGATCTTCCCCTCTTCCAATGCACCATGGAAGAGAGATTGGTTACCTGATGTTGGGGGCTTTGCTTCATGCTGTGCTTGCCACAGACAACAGGATGCCGGTCTCTGGTGTTGGGAATTGGATGGAGGCTAGAAAGGAGAGGGAATTTCTGCCTTCGCTGGTCTCTTGGAGTAAAATGTAGAAATGCCAGGATAAAGACATATGCTGCATCCTGGCCAAAGCCTGCTGAGCCCTTTATCAGTGGAAACTCTGAGATGTGAAGTTCTGGAGTACAATTCAAATATGAAAGCTCAATGGCTCAATCTTATCTTGAATTCACCCCTCATCTAGAAAAGCAAACATATTTATCAGGAAAGTGATTTGGGTTGGGTGGGAGGAATATGGAGATTCTGTATGTGTTCAGTGATTCAACGACAGTAAAAGTTGGAGTGATTCTGAGGTCTGTTGGCTTGGTTTTAAAAACATATAAAATGTAACTGACAGTTTGTGTACAGCGGTTTCAAGCATTATGATAAAAAACCACATGCAAAGTAAAAAATTGGTATTCCCCCTTGTGTGTGTTGTGTGCCAGCAGTTGAAAGTAAATAAAATGATCACTTGGTCTTTGTTCAAATTATTGAAGAACTTTTACTGTTTAAAACATGTGTAGAATGGAATAAACTCAGTGCTTTCACATTAAGGACTGCTCAGTGGTTTAGGTCTCTGACTGCAAAGCCATAGTTTGAGAGTTTGATTCCCCACCGTGCCTCCTTGATAGGGATAGTCTTGATGGTCTGTAGGGTCATTGCACCGCATGGGAATTGGGAAATCAAGCTCCTTCCCTCTTTTTTTCTTGGTGGGAACTAGAAGTCACCTCCTCACCTTTCCCCCCTTTGGTTTACACATGTATCTCAGTCTGCAATTTCATCCAAAATCCAGCATGACCTCTACAATGAGGAGCTAGATGTTTGCAGGGTGAAAAGAGATGTGTTCTCTATTCTATTTACATATGTGTGTATAGGTGTCTGGGTAGTAATTATTCTCAGAGAGAAGTGGAGACTTTTGATCTTCGATGTTATTGGCAGAGCATGGTGACCTAATGCTGAGCTTCTTACTATGGAATAATCACTCTGGAAACTATAGTAAGGACAAAAATGAAAAAAGAATGACTATTTCTAAAAGAAATGCATTTAGGATAGTACAAAAGGAAAACAGGATATCTCTCTTATTTATGAACACTTAGTGTGATGTACTGGATAGAGTGACAGACAAGGAGGGCTGGGTTTGAATCCCTGCTCAGCTATGTAAACTCACCAGAGAGGGAGTGGAACTGATAAAATAATAATAATTGTGAGCTGGCAAGTCAATTCTGACTTATGGCGACCCTTTTCAGGATTTTCTAGAGAGTACTCAGAAGTGGCTTACCATTCTGTTCTTCTGGGGGCATCCTGAGACAGTGCAGCTTGCCCAAGGCCACAGAAGCTGTCTCTTCTGGAATGTACAGTGAGAATCACATTCCCAACCTCTGGCTCCTCAGTCAGAAACTTAACTCACTCAACTATCCAGCCAGCTAAAACCACTCCTTAAATGCCTCATTTCTCTTGAAAGCCCTGTTAGGTTCAGTGTAAGTCAGTTTCAAGTTGATGGCACATAACAGCAAACTGGTTTATATAATTGATTTCCATGTCAGCAGATCTGGAGAAGGGTGAAGGGACAAATTAAAAAAGGAATAGTCTCAGAGTAGTAATCTGAACACAGACTGCAAAAAAGAGGAAAAAACACACCCAAATTATTTTCTTACTGTTGTATACCTACTGATTCAGATCACTTCTTCTATGGGCTGGTGCCCGTCTTCATCTAGCACTTTGCTCCTTTATCTTCCTGGGCAGGACGCTGGAAGTTGAGGAATATGGTGTAGTGAAAAATGTTCTGGGCTCAACGTTCTGCAGAACTCTCTGTCTGGTTGGAACATAAGGGTACTGTTCATATTTAGAAACACTCTCTTTTGGAACATTTTTCATAGAACAGACTTAGCTGGTGTACATTAGAAAGATGTGGCAGGAAGAGTGATTGCAGTTCAAAGCAGTGGGCAGGGATTATAAGTAAAGAGGAAAGAAACAAAAGTTTTAAAACCTGTATGGGGCTGTATGGGGAACCAATCCATCACAATTCACTAGCAACAATATCTCAAACAAGGAATTCTCCAACATTCTATCCTCTCCGAGGCACTGAGAGCTGAAAATGATACCGACTAATCACAAAACAGTAGTGGAATCAATCTCAGAAAGGGAGATGGTGGAGGCAGGATTTGGCATTATCATCTGGAAACAACTTTTAGAATGTTATATTGATATCTGGTCCTCCAAACCAAACAAATCTTTCCTGCACTGCGAAGGTTCACATTAAACAATTATGTTAGGATGGACAATAGAATTTGCTCCCACCCATGTGTCACTACTGCAGTTTATATTTCTTGCTTTCCCTTTTCTAATAGCAGAAATATTAGAATAATAATAAATGTTTTATTACGGTCATTGACCAGCAAAAGTAAGCAACATTATTTAAATTAGAAAACATAAAATCAATCTAAAAGCACTAAAACATCTATATACATATACCGTATTTTTCGCACCATAAGACGCACTTTCCCCCCACAAAACAGGGGGGTGGAAAGTCTGTGCGTCTTATGGAGCGAAAAATACGGTATATAACTACTGTACATTCATACATCTTATCATCTTATTAGATATCTCCTGCCTCGCTATCATAGGCCTTGTCTATGGTCTATTGTAGCTTGCATAGAATGACAGAATTGTTACTTAGAAGCTCATAGAGCTCATATGACCATTAAGGCCTCTACATGTATACACTAATTTACAGATATTATAGCTGCGCTTTGGGTGGCACCATTCCTTCACAGATTTTGATTGCAGCAGCGTAGAGTTTAGCTACTTTTGTCAAAATACCTGAATTTTGGTTTAGCCCAGTATATCTGCCAGAATATCACCCTTTCAGCAAGAGCAGTGTGTAATGTGCCTCTGATCGTCCAGGAAATGCCCTTATGTAAGGGTTAACAAGGACTTCTTGAATGCCAGAAATATTAGAAAAGAGAAAACAAGAGAAAATTATTAGAGAAAAATGAAGATGTTCTCCTACATGTGGAAATCAGAATTGCATTATTGTGTTTGCAAGATTGTACATTGTCTTTTCTTTTTTCCTTTTCTACATGTAAAATGTGACTCTTCAATCACAGGAAGTAAGATGGACACTTCTACAAGCACAACAGAGGCAACAAATGCAACATATTATATTTCAGACCACACTGATTATGATTATGGATCAGCCCCATGTGAAAGTATCGCTGTCCAAGAATTTGCTTCCTGTGTTCTGCCACCACTTTACTCTTTCGTGTTTGTGTTTGGTCTACTGGGAAATGCACTGGTTGTGCTGATCCTTATCAAGTACAAGAAGCTCAAGAGCATGACCGATATCTACTTGCTAAACCTAGCCATCTCCGATTTGCTCTTTATAGCCTTACTCCCTTTCTGGGCTTATTATGCTGCACATGAGTGGGTATTTGGAAATGCACTGTGCAAAATTTTATCTGGACTCTACCTCACAGGCTTCTACAGTGGAAACTTCTTCATCATCCTTTTGACCATTGACCGGTACCTAGCAATAGTCCATGCAGTGTTTGCCTTAAAGGCCAGGACTGTGGTCTATGGCATTCTCACCAGTTTCATCACATGGGGTGTTGCAATTTTAGCCTCTGTGCCGGGTCTTGTCTTTCACAAATTACAAAGAGAAAATGATCGCTGGACATGCACACCTCACTTTCCACTTGATACTCAAATCCAATGGAACCAGTTCATGACCCTGAAAATGAACCTCGTAGGCCTCATCTTTCCAATGATTGTGATGACCGTTTGCTATTCACAGATCATAAACACCCTGATGAGATGCAGGAACGAGAAGAAGAACAAAGCGGTCAGACTTATTTTTATCATCATGATTGTTTATTTCATCTTCTGGGCCCCATACAACATTGTTCTTCTGCTCCAGACCTTTCAGATCTCATTCTCCCTCAACACTTGCGATGGCATTAGTAATCTGGGTATTGCAGTACAGGTGACAGAGACATTAGCGATGGCCCACTGTTGCATCAATCCTGTGATCTACGCTTTAGCCGGCGAGAAGTTCCGAAAGTATACTTGCAGCTTTTTCCAAAAGCACGTTGCTCTCTGTCTCTCAAACTACTGCCGGTTTTTGTACTCTGAGCCGCTGGAACGTGCCAGTTCCACCTACTCTCATTCTACTGGGGAGCAAGACATTTCAGCGGTGTTGTGACGGATGCCCAGAGAAAAAGGGAAAATAACCTTTACAGATGCTCCTCCTCAGACATTTCTTCATATTGTGGTCTAGGGTGGCTGCAAAATGTCAAGCCTTTATGATAATTGAAAAATTTTATGTTAAATACTAAGATTTTTGCTTGCTTCTGTCCATTCCAAGAACGCATGGTAGACCATGTCAGGGCTCTTACAAGTAGTAAAGGAAAATGATTGTTCAAGCAAGTTATATATATTACTGTCCATAGGGTCTGAGATATATTTACATAAATGGTTTAAAAGAAATATGTCAGTGTACTGTGGTACAAATGGTGACACAAGAGTTTTGTTGCTTTTGCTACAAAGGTTATTAAGACTATTCCTATGAAAACTGCCCAAGTACTGTACTGCTCTTCTAAGTGTTACCATATGTTACAAATTCTCACTGTGCTGAGTAATACGTTGCCAGTGCTTTTTCCCCTTTTTATAAGCATAATGAGTATTCTATCCTCAGATCCCCTAACCTAGTTAAGTGTTTTCTATTGAATCAGATGAACCTATAATTTTGGCAGCTGAATGGATTTATTATACTAATTTAAATTGCCATAAAAATTTTAATTGAAATCAAATCTATCATAGATACTACATTTATATATTTTCTAAATAGTGACGTAAGTTTGCAAACTATAGAAACAGCATTATGGTTTTATTTACACAGCAGGACCTTACATTTATTTGTTACACTTTACATTTCTTGCTACCTTTCTCTATTTTACCTATTTAATAAAAATAAAATATTCTCTTATATATGGACTTTTTAATGAGCAACTGCCATGATAGCTGTCTGTGATCTGTGAAATAGGAATCTGTACACTGGGAATTTTGTTTTCTCTTTGTTTCATTGTTATTCCTCCTCTCTTGGTCCAAACACACCCTGTGGGGAAAAAAACAAGTTTCAAGCAAAAGCAAAATCCCGATTATTGATAGGTTGAAGTAAATTCTGATAATTGGTGGGCACAAGGATAGATCCAGAAAATTTATATTGGTGGGTCCAAGAAATTCTTCTGGGGAGAACTGCTTTTTTTAGATATGCATATACAGAGACCACTGCGACAATAAAACTGTGTGTGTGTTTACATATACTTTGTATTGAAAACTATACAAAGCAGCAGAAAAGTTCCAGGATTGGAACCTTTACATCATGAATGCAGAGTAGTGCTATTTATATAACACAAAGAGCCATGATGAAGTCCCGAAGACATAAAGTAAAGCAGGCCTGTTAAGAATGTCATAGTGTATAAATTCTGGCATTGCAGCAGCTATCATCAACACAATCACCTTCACAAATGACTTGTAGGAAAGTGGCCTCTATATCCTGGGATGATTTTAAAGGCAGGTTGAAAAAGCTGTAGAAATTATAACTGTTTTTTATAACTCCATTTTACATTCCACATGATTTGAATTCTAAGCTACACAATGGTAACTTTTTTGTTTGCTTTTGTTGCATCTTAAGAACAGTGTTTGGAAAAGTTACTTTTCTGGACTATAACTTTGGTTGGCCCAAAATTCTGGTTAAATAGTGTCCGATAAGAAATTTTTTTCAAGTTGACTTTCTACTCTTTTCCTGCATATATTAATAAATCATCTGCAGTACTAAACAACACTATCTAGACATAACTGAGTGCCATCAAGTCCATTATGATTTATGGTGACCCATTTCAGAAATTTCTAGGTAAAGAGTACAGTGGACCCTCGACTTTCAGATGGCTCGACTTACAGACTTTTCGAGTTACAGACTTCTCTGGCCGCAAAATTTAGGTTTCAACTTGCAGCCAGAGAATTGACTTACAGACCAGAAAAAAACCAAATTGGAACAAAAATGGAACAAAAACAGCTGGTTACGGGATTAATCGGTTTTCAATGCATTGCAGGTCAATGGAGACTCGACCTACACACTTTTCGACCTGCAGCCATCGTTCCAATACGGATTAATTCCGTAAGTAGAGGGTCCACAGTACTCAGAAGTGGTTTACCAATTCCTTCTTCTGGGAATACCCTGGAATAGTGCAGCTTGACTAGGGTCGTTCAAATTGGCTCTTCTGATATGCACAGTGAGGAACTGAACTCCCAACTTCTGGCTCCTCAGCTAGATACTCAACACACTGAGCTATCTAAACCTAGGAAACCACGTATCACTAAAGGTGTCAGGATTGGCTTGTCAGAAATCCAGCTATAAAACCCTGTACTATACATGTACATACATTATTAATTTGTTAACTAATATTTCATGTCACTCTTCATTCTAAAACCCCCAAAGTGGTTTACAATAATGTATATTAAAACCCAGAAAGTATGGTAAAATCAAATGAAACAACCAAAAGACAGTGACCAAACTATAACATATTTTATTAAAATCAGACACACAGAGCACAGGCATCCTTCAGTCTCGAGAGACTATGGTAACATGCGCTGAATCAAGGAGTGTCCTCTCCAGAGCATGAAGCCTGGGTAAAGGCAGCCCATCTAGGAGAAGGAAAATCAGACAGTAAAATCACATTAAAATTACAAATTATCTGAATTTCTACTTTGTCATGTATGGATTCCTGAAAAGATTTTGTCTATAACTAAAAGGATTATGGGCCCTATAACTAATCAAATGAGAAAGCTTACTTGGTTGTGTTCTGAAGATTTTTCTTCCTAACATTTCGCCAATCTCTGTGGCTGGCATCTTCAGAGGACAAGAATTAGAACTCTGTGTTCTGAGTTCGAATCCCTGTCCTCTGAAGATGCCGGCCACAGAGACTGGTGAAACGTTAGGAAGAAAAACCTTCAGAACACGGCCAAACAGCCCGAAAAACCTACAACAACCTTCAGATCCCAGCTGTGAAAGCCTTCGAGAATACATTAGAGTTTTTTAAAGATTATGATTACAAAGACCAAAAAGTCTTTGTGTTTCATCATTTATTTTTCAAAATACTGTACAAAGAGTAATACATTCATATTACATAAAGTGCAAGCGTTATCAAGCTAGTCACCACATTTATCCTAACATCATATCAGTTAGGTGTAAATATGCACAAAGTCTTTCCACTATACCTTGGAAGCATCTCTTCATGAGGCAAGATGTTGGAAAAGTTAAGTAGGGTAGGGTATGTCTTGATATTTAGATCCTTTTAGTCTACCGGCATCCACCAACTGGCCAAGGAAAGAGGTAGGCTACAGAAGAAAGCTCATCAGAAAATATAGCTGATTTCGATTTTACCGGAGCCGCCTATAGACTTACAGGGAACTGGCAATTTACACACTTTTGATCCTCTCAATTTAAAATAATCCTTTAAGCCCTCACCATCAATTCACCCGTGGCTCCATCCTCTCTAACTTGTGGAAATCAGAGAGCCATTCGGCAGTCTTTATATGATGAAGGGTGGAAATAATTTTAGATACCAGACTAAGTAAAGGGCATCAGTGTCTCCAAATTATGGCAAAATCCATCTTGCCAGGAACTTCTGGACTTTAAATTCCTCACACTGGAACGCGCCTGACGAAGTGGTCCTGATCCACGAAAGCTCGCATATTGTATGATTTTTTTTAGCGGTCTATAAAACCATCGCCTATTCTTCTTGCATTTGTATTTTGTATTGATCACACGGCTGCCTTTTATTTCAATCCTGTGTACCTCCCCTCTCTCTTCCACCAAATTCAGCTGTTTCTCAGGAGACTCCGTTCAGGCGAGCAGGCACAAACCACCGTGCACAGCGGTACAAGGACGCCTTTAGGAATCAGGCGCACCCCGACTCAAATGCGCCATAAACCCCTGCAAAACAGCCCCGCTCTTTCTGCCTTTCCAGCATACTTCCGTTACGCTCTTACACGAGCACCTCCCCTTCCGCCCGAATAAAACAGACCACGGGAGCGAAATTAAAACGGGCCATCTCCGGCCGCCCATCCTCGCCGCCTTGTTGCTTCTCGTCGGCAGCTGCTCCTTTAAGAAAGGCTGTGGCGGCTTTTCGAGTCCTCGGACGGCGGCCAGGAAGGAGGAGGAAAAGCTTGCAGCCACTGGCGCATGCGCACTTTCCCGGTCCGGCTTTCCCGCCAGCTTTCGGCAAACCGGGGCTTCTTGCTCGGACTGCGAGGGCACCGGCGGGCATTTTGAGGGCGGGCGGGCGGAGTGGGTAAGAGAAAGAGGGGGACACGGCGCGGCGGCTCTGCGGCGCTCGGCTCGCAACGGCTTGGTAGCTGAGGTGACTCCGCCCCCGGCCGTCTGTGGGAGATTGTCATCTGACCCGCGAAGGGGGAGAATAGAGAGAAGGCAAGGGAGCTTTTGGCTTACAAGTCCCATCAGCAAGAGGAGGTTGGGAGTTGTAGTGCGAAACATCTGGAGGCCCAGACGTGCCTCCACCCCTGGGGTAGGGGCATGGTGGCTCCCTCCCCCTTTAGTTCCCCCATCCCTGTGTTGTTAATACATTTTTCTTTCATCTATATACTGTTACACCAGTCTTCCTGATTTCTTCATTAGCTGGATGATGAGGAATAGCAAGGAGCCATATTTTGTGAAGTTTGTGAAGTCTGCGGGAGACTCTGATTTTTTCCTTCAAGCCCTTGAGGTGAGTTTATACCATATTCAGACGGTGCAGTGTGAGTGCAATGCACCTACCAAACATAATGTGCCTGAGCCCCGTTGAGACCTAGCGAATGGTCAGGGTTTGTAACAGTGGAGGCTTGCATCCCTCTATCCTTCCCTACACCACCACCACATCTGGTTTTTGACTGTCACGCCAATACGTATACACGAACGGACCCGAAATGATTCCCACAATTACGATCCAGAGGCCAAGAGTGAGCTTGCAATGGCCAGAAAGATGGAAAATGCTGAAGGCAGCATGGAATTGGGTTGAAAGGGGGGAACCTCTGGCCCGCTATTGATAATTTACTTCAAATACTGTATTTTACTCCATCTTTCTCGTTAAAATGACCCAAGGCAGCTTACATAATTAAAAAACAGTATTTAAAGTTAGCAATAGTCCTTGAGATAGCTTTGACCCAATCCACTACCTACACTTGGAATAGTTCTGCTGAGGTACATGGAATGAAATACCGTTTTTTCACTTTTCTTTTTTATAATTTGAATTGAATGTAGGGAACTAAAGTTTTATGTACTAAGTTTGAATTTTTCCTTCCAATCAGTGTTGGTGATGCATTCAGAGGTGGCTCATTTTAAAGTGAGACATGTTCCCATGTTCAATTCACAAGCTGTTCTTGAATACATGAGAAGAACCAGTTCTTGCAAACGTAGGGGATACTTAAATTGCATTTCTTCTTTGTATTTTGCAGTCCATTAAAGAATTTCAGTCAGAAGAATATCTCCAGATACTTGAAAGTGAAGTTGCCCTAAAAATACAAGAGAACGACAAATCCCTTTATATTTGTGATCAGTTCAGCGGGGCTGTTTTTAATCATCTTCAAAAGGTTTCTGTTTTATTTTTGAATTGACTGTGCTAATGATTAAGTTTTCATCAACAGCATTCCCATATATTGATAAACAGTATTTCTGACAGTAAACTTTCTGAAAAAAACCTGCCTATGTATACTGCCCCACAGTGCTTAAAGCACTCTCTGGGTGGTTTACAAGTTAATTATGCAGGCTACACATTGCCCCCCCCCCCAAGTGAGCTGGGTACTCATTTTACCGACCTCGGAAGGATAGAAGGCTGAGTTAACCTTGAGCCAGCTACCTGGGATTGAACCCCGGGTCATGAGCACAGTTTTAGCTGTAGTACAGCAGCTTAAACACTCTGCTATGAGGCTCCTAATAATGAAATCATGGAAATCAGTTCTGGTCACCAATATATCTGTTTATTAGTCACCAATATCCTAGAAAGTTACCAACAACAAAGAAGATGATGAATTATAACTGCTTTCTAGCTCTTTTTTCCAGCTTTTTCAGAGAGAACAGGCCTATATGAACATTTATATATATTTGTATGTCAATTAAGTGTAAGCTAACAGAAGTACAGTAGTTCCTTGTTATACTGTGTGAATACTGGGTAGAGAAATAGATACTATGTGTTAATCTTTTTACAGCTGGCTGTATTAATTTTGTTATTATTGGTTTGGAAAAGATGGAGAAGTAACTACCTTGTTGACCTTTTTGCTTTATTTTATTTCAGCTTGGTTGTAGAATTGTTGGACCACAAGTAGTTATTTACTGTATGCAGAACCAGCGATGTGTCCCAAGGGCTGACTATCCAGTATTTAATATGTCAATGGCTGATGTGACAGTATCTTGTACAAGTCTCCAGAAGGAAACTAGGGTAATGCATTCAGTGGTTGTGTGATGCTATTTCCTAGATGTATTTTATAGGTTGCCTCTGGCTTCTTTGTTGAAAAACACTTGTGATAAACAGGAATACAAAGTCAATTTCAAAATGCTACTGAAACAGCAATTAAATAGATGTACTGCCTGTAAAATCCAGTATTTAAGATCAGAAGGATGGAATCTCTTCTTTAAGGCAAATCCACTGTATCTCAAACATCTTTGATGAATGTCTCATATCTTAGATATAATTTCTAAAATAATGCCTATATTAGATTTTAGAAATCTACTGAAAATCTCTAGCATGATGCTACAACTTTTTAAAAGGCATGTGTTATATTGCCCTATTCTTAATCACTTAGGAGTGTTTTAGTAATTGTGTAAGCTAATGTTTCTCAGTTACAGAAGCAGAGATTTAATGGTACTTGTTCTCTATTGTGGCAGGGAGAGATGCAATTCATCTTCAATTGTCTGAAATGATATTCTAAGATAATCATGTTGGTTCCTTACACTTCTTTATCCTTAGGCCAAATTACCCATTTTGAGTTTATCCTTCTGTTATTTACATTAAGAGTAGGGAAGGGGTATCCCTCCAGATTTTATTGGGTTACAACCCCTATCAGCTTTAATCAGTTAACAAAATGATTACACTTAATCTCAAATCCCCATTCCATCCTAGAAAGTTACCAACTAACAATTTTGTTAAATGGTGTTTAAGCTGATGTTTAGAATGTTACATTATTTAACAAGTAAGATGAATAGCTAATTGTATTATGTGTTTATAGTGTGATGGATTGTCTAAAATAAAGTTTTATTTAATTAAAAAAAGTGATGGGACAGAAGCAAGAAATGCTACACCCAAAAAAAAGCTTTAATCGGGGGGGGGGATATGATGGAATTGCAGCTCGACAACATCTGAAGGATGTCCCCTTTGAATCATGTAAAATTTAATGTTCTCCACTTCAATGTGCTGTTCCAAATTACACATTACCTTAGTGATGTTTCTATAGTATAAAAGTAGTATAGCATTGTTTATATAAACGGAGCTTTGCAAATTTTTGTTTCATCTTTTTGACTTAGGTTTGTTTTTTGTTTTTGTTTTTGCATTCTGTTCCTCCCCCCCCCTTCTATAGGAAGAGATCCACAAATATGTACAAATGATGGGTGGCCGTGTGTATAGAGATCTTAATGTTTTAGTGACACATCTTATAGCTGGTGAAGTTGGGAGCAAGAAATACTTAGTTGCTGCTAATTTAAAAAAACCAATTTTGCTTCCCACTTGGGTAAAGACACTGTGGAACAAATCGCAACAGAGGTAAGTTAATCATTTGTGTATTTTGAAAAAATAATATCAGATGAAAATGTGGAGCTACAATAGTAGGAGAAAAGCAACAATATAAAAAAAGATACTGTTAACATTTTCACAGCCATACAGTTGTATACCATTTTTTAATGTTTGCATGGAAATTGCCCCAGAGGGAGACCACAGCTGCAATACAAGGACACTGTATCTGCAAGCGGGATCTGATGGCCTTAGGAATGGACCTTAACAGATGGGAAACCCTGACATCTGAGCATTCAGCCTGGAGGCAGGCGTTGCCCTTTGCAGGCCGAGGCAAAGGGGCAGTCCTGAAAGCAGTAAAATCAGGGAGCCGGACAGGGGACAGATTGTATTTGTCTTCAGTGTGGAAGGAATTGTCACTCTCTAATTGGCCTTCTCAGCCACACTAGACAATGTTCTTAGTCCTCCATACAGAGCACGTTACCATAGTCTCTCGAAACTGAAAAGTGCCTAATCTAAATAGTTAATACAGTATAGTATTGGATCCATGTTTTACTTAGAGTAGGCTCACTGCAATTAGTGGGACTTATGTTGGTTATCACTGACTTAACCCTCACTGATTTTATTAGGTCTACTGTGGCTGAATTCAGACTATTTTCTGATAAAGATAGAAGTGTGAAGACCCATTTTTCATGCTCTTTTTTTATAACAGGATGATTAGATACACAGATGTAAACATGGATGACTTCCTGTGTCCTTTGTTTCTGGGCTGTACAATCTGTGTAACTGGTTTGAGCAGCATAGACCGAAAAGAAGTTCAGCGTCTCACTATTGAGAATGGTGGACAGTACACAGGGCAGCTCAAGATGAATGAATGTACTCACCTTATAGTTCAGGAGCCAAAAGGTAATCTTCTCTTTGGAACAAACACTAGTTTATTTGACTGGAGCTCAAAAAACTTTTGCCATTTGTGCAGATGTTTGCAGATCATCAAATTTCATCATGTTTCAGCAGTAAACCCTGAGTAGAGGATGTGCCCTTACTGTGCAAACTACAGCTTGACCTTTGTGAAAGGTGAACTTGTCAGGATATTTATATCACGGGTTTTGGTGTGTTATTTCTCCAATCAGTGAATGGGATACACATGTTTTCGAACTTCTGCACTCTCCTAACTTTATATAGCAGAAGTGAAGAATGCTGGTCCTCCAGATTTTGTTGGACTACAGTTCCCATTTTGATTCATTACTGGCTATGTTGTTTAAGGCTAGTGTGAATTGCTTTGCAGAAACATATTCAAAGCCACACATTTTCTACCTGTGGTGTATAGAGAAAGTATTCTGATATCCCAGATATGAAAAACCTATTATTTGAGAAAATAGGGTGCTCTTTAGGTTCTGTAATAAATCCACCTTCCTATTTTCTTTCTGTTGTATCATTAAAATGGATAACATATGGCCAATAATTTTGTATAGTTTTTTTCCCATGTCTGCTGCAGAAAGACACATAGTGTTTTCATTGTCATGTGGGATCCATTTCTCAATTTTTCAATGCAAAATGATATATCTTAGACCAAGAATAGTATGCCAAATTTTAAACAATGTCCTAAGGACAAGGCGTCTATTCATTTGTAAAATAACAGGACATTCATTGGTTTTTTAAACCTTTTATAGGCTGAAATCCAATAGTAAGTTGCAAGTAGTGTAGGCCCATTGAATCGGCAGAGTTTACTGAGATTCCTTTGGGTTGAGCCTAGGCTTTGCTTCCAAAGACTGGAAGGGCACCTTCTGTCAACAAAAAGCTAATTTTATGCGGTTATTGCAGAATATGGGAAACAGGCAGTTTTCATCTAGTCCTCAGCAGTCCTTAAGCATTCTACAGAAAATGTGCACCAAAAGGGTGGGGGAACCTCCAGGATAGTGTGGAACTTGATGCTGACATTTGGAATTGGTGTAAATCACTTTCCTCTGCTTCTCTTTCATGGGCAGGAATGTTATTAGGGGAACTCCTCTCAAGTGATTATATCACCAATACAAGTTTGAAGATCTACATACAAGTGCTGCTTCACTTAGCGACGTTAATCCATTCTGGAAAAAACGTCGCTATGTGATTTAATCATTAAGCGATTTTTAAAAGCCCATAGAAATGCATTAAAACGCATTTAATGCGTTCCTATGGGCTTCAAAACTAACCTTAAGTGAAGATCCTCCATAGGGGCGGCCATTTTGGGTGCCTCTTAAGCGAGGCAAAACAGCGGGTGGCCATTTTGAAACCGCCGATCAGCTGTTCAAGAAAAGTTCCCGGACCCTTTTTAAACTTTGCATTGCAAAAGCGAGAAGGAGCAATGTTCCCATCTGCTCTCCTTGTCGAGGGAGCTATTTCTTCTCTCTCTTTTTTTCTCTCCTGCCTGCCTGAGCCCACCACTGCTTTCCTCCACCGAGTGTGTGGTGTGTGTTTGCGAGTGCACGTTCCCCTTTCCCTCGCCCCAACAGAGGCCAAGGCCAGACGGCCGGGATTGGCCGCCAAGGGCTCTGAGCTCTGCCCGCTTGAGCATGGCTTGGGAGACAGCGAGAAGGAAGGGAAGGGAAAAAAGAGGGGAGGCAGGGGAGGCGAGGAGAGCGGGGCCGCGCTCCCTGTGCTGCCTGGTCTGGAGTGGGAGCCTGGCAGTGGCGGAGCAGCAGCAGCAGGAACAGGAGCAGCCGCCACCAGAGCCTGCTGGTCTGAGGAGGAGTCAGCCCCGGAGCCCTCTCTGCTCTTTGGGCACAAGGCAAGGCAGGCGGCGGGCTGGCAAGATGCACCCCTCGCGAGAAGGGGGGAGGACAGACTCCGGGCTAGAAGGTGAAAGGAGGAAGCCGGCGGAGGAGAGAGCGGCTGGTGGTGGTGGAGGGGTCTCCCGGTGGAGGGTGGGCTTCCACAGGATCCCTTGGCCGGGATGAGAGGCTCCGCCTTAGCTCCCCGCTGCTCTGCTCTCCTTCGGGTGGATCCTCCCACCTCCTCCCGGACGTGCAAGGGTCGCTTTGCCATGATCGCAAAGCGATTTATCCCCATAGAGGCCATCGCTAACCGATCGCTCTGGCGATGGCCAAAACCCCATCGTTAAGCGATTTCATCGTTAAACGGAGCGATTGGTAAGCGAGGCACCACTGTACATTCATGGAAAGAGAATGCCACTACTCTATGGCTGAAATCCTGTTGATTAGCATAGTAGGTCACTCTAGAGAAGGCCCATTGAATCAGTGGGGATTTCCTGCATCAATTGCTGTGTAAGTTCCATTGATTCAATGGGTCTCTTCTAGTGCATATTACTACATTAAACATTAAGGATTTCAGCAGTTACATCAGTTGAACCATATGTAAAGGACAAAGTTCTACAAGTGGAGACTTGTGAGATTTCATGCATCCTACAGTAGTACATGACCCTAAAAGTATCATGAGTAACAATTCTTCATATGTATTTAATGTATTCTGTGCCATTTAAAGGTTTTAAAGAAAAGTATTTTAATATTAACTAGAGATGGGCATGGACCTTGGTTTAGGGGTTTGTGTCAGTTTGTACATGCAGCTGTACATTCCCTTCCTCCACCTCCCCAGCTGTATCCCCCCACTCACTAGCTAGTGCATGCTCCTCTTCAGCTGTTCGACCAGTCCTCAGCAGGAGCATGGGCTTCCCTGCCCCACCTTCTTGGCTGATCACTCACTCGGACAAGGAGGCAGGACAGACAAGCTTGTGCTCCTGCCAGGGACTGATTGAACAGCTGAAGAGGAGGAGGAGAGGAGGGGTGCGCTCTAACTGGTGAGTGGGTCATTGGCCAGGGAGGCGAGGGAAAGGAATGTATATAGACCACCACAAACCTCCAAACTGAGGTTTATTCCCATTTCTAATATTAACTATATATTTTTTTTCTACATGAGTAAGGCCAGAAGTATGAGTGCGCCAGAAGATGGAATGTCCATTGCATATCTATGCAGTGGTTTTTTGACAGCCTTGAGAAGGGTTTTTGCCAGGATGAATCAATGTATTCTGTAATTCCTAAATCAAAACAAGAAGACACTCCAAGCACATCAACTCCTACTAATGAAGCTGGCAAATTTGACAGTGAGTAACAAGTGCGCAAGTTTTTATTCAGGTAGTTCATGGAAGGGGAGCACTTTATTGAAAGTGTCAATGATTTAGCCTCTCCCCACCACCACTGATCAGACTGCAGGCCACCTACTGGTGCCTAGAGAATACAGAGGCTACATTGTTTGAAATACTGTAATTTGATTTATACCTCAAAGGTTTTTATTAGAAACTCTTGTAAGCTTTCCCAAAGAACTGTATTTTTCGCTCCATAAGACGCACCTCTCCATAAGACGCACCAGATTTTTAGGAAAAGAAAACAGGAAAAAATAATCTGTTTTCTTCGCTCCATAAGACGCACAGACTTTCCACCACCCCCCCTGTTTTGTGGGAAAAATGCGTCTTATAGAGCGAAAAATACGGTAGTTTAGTTTATCTTTCTGTTTTTATTTGTGTGTAAATATGATATATTGGTTTTTGGTTTTGTTTCTGTTTTTAAATTTGGTTTATATTGTTTGATTTTATGATTTGTGTATACCAGTTTGGAATCTGTAGACTTAGGAAGTTTTTGTATTATAAATATTCATGTGTAAATAAATAATTAGTGTTAAAAGTTGGCCCATAAAGACTTGGAGAACACGCATTTATTTTTCCCCCAATTTTTGAGGCAAAGATCAAATTATTTGTATTTTCAACTTAGAAAGAAAATATTACAGTTTGGAATAATTCTGTTCTGTGGGAATTGTATCTTTTTGCTCAGAATGCTTCATTCTATCCAGTCTGCCAGTTTTCTCCTTCTCCCAGTGGTTATCAGCATTTTGTAGGCACTGTTTCTGTAGCCAGATTGTTAACTGCGACTGGTTACAGGGATCACATAATGCCCTGTTAGAGCAGCTCCACTCGCTGTTTCTCCATTTCTGGGCACAATTCAAAGTGATGGTTCTAACCTGTAAAGCCCTAAACAGTTTGGGTCCAAGCTATTTCAAAGACCACCTCTCCCTTTGTGAACCTACTTGGGTGTTAAGATCAACAGCAAATGCCTTTCTCTTGATCCCACCACCCTTACAGGTGGGTTTGATGGAGACACGGGAGAGGGCCTTCTCTGACACTGCCCCAACTCCCTCCCATTTGCTGTCCTCCATAAGGCGCACCAGATTTTTAGGAAAAGAAAACAGGAAAAAATAATCTGTTTTCTTCGCTCCATAAGACGCACAGACTTTCCACACACACCCCCGTTTTGTGGGAAAAATGCGTCTTATAGAGCGAAAAATACGGTAGTTTAGTTTATCTTTCTGTTTTTATTTGTGTGTAAATATGATATATTGGTTTTTGGTTTTGTTTCTGTTTTTAAATTTGGTTTATATTGTTTGATTTTATGATTTGTGTATACCAGTTTGGAATCTGTAGACTTAGGAAGTTTTTGTATTATAAATATTCATGTGTAAATAAATAATTAGTGTTAAAAGTTGGCCCATAAAGACTTGGAGAACACGCATTTATTTTTCCCCCAATTTTTGAGGCAAAGATCAAATTATTTGTATTTTCAACTTAGAAAGAAAATATTACAGTTTGGAATAATTCTGTTCTGTGGGAATTGTATCTTTTTGCTCAGAATGCTTCATTCTATCCAGTCTGCCAGTTTTCTCCTTCTCCCAGTGGTTATCAGCATTTTGTAGGCACTGTTTCTGTAGCCAGATTGTTAACTGCGACTGGTTACAGGGATCACATAATGCCCTGTTAGAGCAGCTCCACTCGCTGTTTCTCCATTTCTGGGCACAATTCAAAGTGATGGTTCTAACCTGTAAAGCCCTAAACAGTTTGGGTCCAAGCTATTTCAAAGACCACCTCTCCCTTTGTGAACCTACTTGGGTGTTAAGATCAACAGCAAATGCCTTTCTCTTGATCCCACCACCCTTACAGGTGGGTTTGATGGAGACACGGGAGAGGGCCTTCTCTGACACTGCCCCAACTCCCTCCCATTTGCTGTCCTTCTGCAAGCAGCCAAAGACCTTTCTATTCAGGCAGGCTGTCTAAAATGGGATGGTTTGGGTTTTGTTTTGTTTTTTGCTTTTATATCCATTTTAGAAATGATGTATCTAATATTTTTAATATAATTTTTAATAACTTCCTGTTTTTAGCTTTCACTATTGTCTTTTTTTAATGATGTAAGCCACCTTGAGTCCTTTTTTTAAGAAAAAGGTGGGGTAAAACTATTTTATATAAATTAAATAAATAATTTATTGCACACAGATTATCAAGTTGTGTTCACAGTTTGTGCACCTTTCTGAAAGCACTCCTAATGTATCTCCCTTGTATTTATCTGAATTTTGTTCAAAGGTCGAACACTCTCAGATGTCAGCCATATTTCAAATATTAGTTTAACTGGTGTTAATGAAACATCCTGTCCCTCTGCTATGGCTAGCAGACCGGACCCTCCTGATGATCTGAACAGCTTGGATATCAGTTCTTTGCAAGCGCCTGAGGATTTACTGGATGGATGCAGAGTATGTCTAACAATGCACGTGCAATGATAAAATAATTGAAAAAAGTATATGAACGTCTATAATTTCTAGAACTAGCCTGTTAATGAGTGGAGGTGAGCAGAAGTAGATACTACATTTCTGAGTGATGGTTTGAAGCAATGGCCTGCTGTTACCGCTGCTATCTTATAGCCAGGACAAGCCATATAAGGTATCAAGATACTCAGCTAAAGGAAAACTACTTTTTTGGTTATTGGTGGTTTTCCAAGAATAGTATCAAAAGCAATCAAATCTAGGCATCTTCATCTATATATTTATTGATACAGTGGTGCCTCGCTTAATGATTGCCTCGTTAAACAACGAAACCACTTGACGAAGTTTTTGCGATCGCAAAATGATGTTCCTATGGGGAAAATTCGCTTAATGATGATGGGTTCCCTGCTTCGGGAACCAGTTTTTCGCTAAACGATGATTTTGAAACAGCTGATTGGCGGTTCTAAAATGGCTGCCCGCTGGGCAAAATGGCTCCCCGCTGTGTTTTCCGGACAGATCCCCCGCTTTACAGGCAGCGAAAAGGGCTGCCCCTATGGAGGATCTTCACTGGACGATGAGTTTTCAGCCCATTGGAACGCATTGAACCGGTTTCAGTGCATTTCAATGGGCTTTTTCGTTTTGCAAGATGATGTTTTCGATTTTCGCGGAACGAATTAACATCGTCTTGCGAGGCACCACTGTATTGCAAAAGGTTAAGAACAGCATATAGTAGGCATAGGTTATTGTTACAGTAATACAGTACAGTGGTGCCTCGCATAGCGACGTTAATCCGTGCAGCAAAAATCGCTGCTAAGCGATTTCATCGCTATGCGATTTTTAAAAGCCCATAGAAACGCATTAAAACCTGTTTAATGCATTCCTATGGGCAAAAAACTGACCTTAAAGCGAAGATCCTCCATACGGCGGCCATTTTCGCTGCCTCTTAAGCGAGGAATCGGCGCGAAAACACAGCGGGCGGCCATTTTTTTACCTGGTGGCCATTTTTGAACCGCCGATCAGCTGTTATATGTCATCGCTTTGCAATGATCGGTAAGTGAAACAGGGAACAGATCATCGCAAAGCGATTAAACCCCATAGGAAACATCGCAATGCGATCGCTTTTGCAATCGCAAAAAGTTAATTGCTATGCGGTTAGTCGCTAAACGGAGCGCCCGTTAAGCGAGGCACCACTGTATGCCTCTTTGGTAGCAAGAACTGCTACAGATGAAACTTCAGCTGAAGCTCAAAACTACATGTGTGGTTCTTTAACCTGCCATTTTGGTTCATGTTCTGCCCCAATACATTCTTTTGCAGATTTATCTTTGTGGCTTCAGTGGCAGAAAATTAGATAAGATGCGAAGGTTAATCAACTCTGGAGGTGGGGTTCGTTTTAATCAACTCAATGAAGATGTGACTCATATCATTGTGGGCGACTGCGATGATGAGCTAAAACAGTTCTTGAAGAAGACAGTGGAAAGGTACTGATAAATAGATGTATTAACTTCTTCTAGTATACTTTTTCGGAGAATATTGGTAAAAAAATGAAATATGTTAAATCAGAGTTCTTTTCACATTGTACTGTATATTCTTTGTTGATAGTAAAAATTTTATTTGGTTGCAATTTTAAAAACATTCTGTGCCAAAGTCTGAAATTTTTGGGGGTTTGGTTCTGGTCTGCCTTTGAAGTGTAGCACCATGACATACCTTAGCCACCCCAATATTGTCTGGAGGCAGTCCCAAAACCAGCAAAATCAGGAAGCTGGACAGGGGACAGACTGTATTTGTCTTCAGTGTGGAAGGGATTGTCACTCTTGAGTTGGCCTTCTCAGCCACACTAGATGCTGTTCCAAGTCCTCTATTCAGAGCATGTTATCATATTCTCTTGAGACTGAAGGATGCCTCCGATGTCAGGGGGGAAGCCCTTTGAGAGCTCCGGAGGCGCCCATCGCGGCGGAAGGGACCCCAGGGAGGTCTCCCATGGTTGCGGGCAAGCCCTGGGAGACCTCTCTGGGGGTCCCCGCCGCCGCGATCGGCACCATCGGAGGTCTCAAAGGGCTTCCCCCCCCGACATCAGAGGAATATGTTTGAGACCTCCGAAGCAAAAAAAGGCAGGGAGAAAGGATGGGAAATTCAAATTTCCCACCCTTTCTCCATGCCTTTTTGCAGGGAGCCATTTACGAATGGCTCCGTTGGCAAAAAATGGCATTGACTTGCGAATGGAGCCTCGGCCTCATTCGTATGTGGGGCTGTTCGGAAGTCAAGGGTTGACTGTATGAAGCAGGAAAAATCTACAATATAATAAAAGGATGAATGGTCATGAATGTTTATTATTTATTAGGGTAAGTGAAGCTCATTGGAAGGATGCAGCCAAGTACAGATAAATGCTGCGCATACTATGTTTTGTATGGGTAGGAATGATGCACAGCCCTTATATAGTTATAACCATATTAGTAAAAGACTTAAGTGCAGCTTTTACAAGCTTTGTGCCATTCTCAGATTATCTAGCTAAAAGCAAATCCCACAAACATCAGCAACATGCATGTACCCTTCCCCCGCCAAATAAGACCTAACCTGAAAATAAGCCCTAGTATGATTTTTCATGATGCTCGTAATATAAACCCTACCCCGAAAATAAGCCCTAGTTAAGTGAAAGCCCGCCCTCCACCACTGTGCAGCAACCAGAACATGACATGACTGTACTTGAATAAATGTAGATTGTTGTACATGAAAAAAATAAAACATCCCCTGAAAATAAGCCCTAATGCCTTTTTGAAGCAAATATTAATCTAAGACCCTGTCTTATTTTCAGGGAAACACGGTATATGCTCAAACTGCTGATAAAGTAGGAGAACTCATAGAAAAATTATATGAACAACTCAAAACTGTTATAAAGCATAAAAAATCAGAGCTTTAATTTCATAATGGTAGATTCTAAAGCTAAAATGAATTATACAACTTTGTCAGTAAGAAGAATTTGTAGTCACCAACACCATGTTCAGATTACCACTGAGGAGGCTGTATTCATGGAAATCTACACAAAATAGCATGAACAGTTTGGCATTTTGGAACTTATTGGAATTTACATTTTGTCTTACAGACCATATGCTGTGACCGTACAATGGCTTTTGGAATGCTTCAGAAAAGGTTACTTACTACCTGAGCAGCAATACACTCCTACAGATTGCCAGCTTGAAAACACTCCTGTTTTGGAGCAGCCTGGTTTCCTCAAAAGGAATAGTCTCTTGAAGAAAGAAGCTGTGAATGTTGTGCAGGCTCCAGAAGCAGATGATGATCTGCTATCTCAGTATGTAACTCATGATTCCACACTAGGTAAGATAGTTATCCACAGACTCCCCCTCTCTTTGGTTCCTTTCAGGTAATTGACAAGACATTTGTCTGTGAAATTCTTAGGAGATTGGGGACTGTGCAGTGTGGCTGGAATAGGAAGGGAAGAAACAGGGATATCTGTATCACTTATGCTTGCTCTCCCACATTTCCAAGAGCAACTCAGTTTCTTTTATCCTTAGAACCCATCTGAGGTTTTCTCAAATCTGTCCTCTGTTCATTTTCAACTGTTCCTTCCTTTCCCTTCTGTATATGATGTACCTCTACTCATTGTTCTTTAAGGACTTCGTTTTCAAAAATATTTTCAAAACTGGCTTTCTTGTTGGGCTGTGTGGGTCTTAGATCCCTGGCCTTGTGGAATTTCTTTTCACTTGGCATTGTAGCCTGCCAGATATCCCTGCTTCTTCCTTTCCCATTCCAGCCACATTGCACAGTCACCAATCTCCTAAGAATTTCATCCATTTATTTCACAGACAAAAATGTCTTGCCAATTACTTGATAGCATTACTGTGTCTATCAGTATTCTGTGATGAAACAGATAGCAGTTGGAACGTTTGTGAGTTTTGCTTTCATTTCAGTATAGCTCAACCAGTGAAGCATTTACAGATGCATGTCAGCGTACATATATTTATATACAGGTGTAGTCAGTTTGATCTTCATTCAGTTACATTTACATGATTTCTATCACAAATTCTCCATACATTCGGTTTATCTGTGTGGTACTGTCAGTGCTATGTAATCTTCCTCAATTTTATTGAGCCTTATGCAGTAACTATTCAGCATTCACTGAAATGGAGAAGAGTTACATAGAAAACTGTTTGATTGATTGTTCTTAATAAAAATGGTAACTTTGGAAATATTTCACTTGTTAAAAAGTGATTGGACTCTAATCCTGTGTCACATAGACCTAAATTTTAGCTTGGAAATTTTTTTTCCTGTATATTACGAGCTATTATTATATACAGTAGAATTTTTAAAATAGGAATGTAACATTTTTATTTCCCTTCCAGTTCATGCTGGTGACCGCAGTTGTATTGATCACAATGCCATTCAGGGAGGAGAAGCATTCACAACCGGGGGCACTTCCTTGACAGAGGCATCTACCGTTGTCGAAGGTTCCTTGTTCGTTGGGAAAAAGTTCTTCATCCTGGGTTTTGGTAAAGAGGATGAATCCAGCCTTGGAGCTCAGATTGAAGAGAACTCTGGGAAAGTTCTCTTGCCACAGAGTAAATCAGTTGCTCACTATGCTGTGGTTCCTCTGTTGGGGTACAAGGTGGAGTCAACTGTGGGAGATGTGGTAACAAATACATGGCTGGTAAGGATAAATATTAGGATGAATAGCTGGAATGTGTCAGAAAAAATCTTTATGATCAATTCTAAATCTGCCCTGAGGAATGCCATATGCTTGACTCGTGTGTACTGAAGGCCAAATTAAGACTCTATAGGGTCTGTTTGATGCTCTGTTTTTGTTTCTGCAGACAAAATTCTACTGGGGAAAAATGTACAGCGATAATCATGCAGTTGGTCCTACTTTGTTCACTCTGTGCAGTCAGTCACGTCTGGTCATAACTGGGAGTGGGAGAGCATCTTTTGCATTTACCATTGCAAGTGCACAGATTTTTCAAGAGGATTCTGGTTGTACTTGTTGTTTAGTCGTTGTGTCCGACTCTTTGTGACCCCATGGACCAGAGCACGCCAGGCCCTCCTGTCTTCCACTGCCTCCTGAGGTTTGGCCAAATTCATGCTGGTAGCTTCGATGACACTGTCCAACCATCTCGTCCTCTGTCGTCCCCTTCTCCTCTTGCCTTCACATTTTCCCAACATCAGGATCTTTTCCAGGGAGTCTTCTCATGAGATGGCCAAAGTATTGGAGCCTCAGGTTCAAGATCTGTCCTTCCAGTGAGCACTCAGGGTTGGTTTCCTTCAGAATGGATAGGTTTGTTCTCCTTGCAGTCCAGTGGACTCTCAAGAGTCGCTTCCAGCACCACAATTCAAAACCATCAATTCTTCAGTGGTCAGCTTTCTTTATGATCCAGCTCTGACTTCCATACATTGCTAAAGAAAAACCATAGCTTTGACTATGCAGACCTTTGTCGGCAAGGAGATGTCTCTGCTTGTTATAGTTTTCCTCCCAGGAAGCAGGCGTCTTCTGATTTCGTTGCTGCTGTCACCATCTGCAGTGATCATGGAGCCCAGGAAGGTAAACTCTGTCACTGCCTCCATATCTTCCCCTTCTATTTGCCAGGAGGTGATGGGGCCAGTGGTCATGATGTTATTTTTTGGATGTTGAGCTTCAGATCATTTTTGCACTCTCCTCTTTCACCCTCATTACAAGTTTATTTAATTCCTGCTCACTTTCGCCATCAGAGTGGTATCATCTCCATATCAGAGGTTGTTGATATTTCTTCCGGCAGTCTTAATTATGGCTTGGGATTCCTCCAGTCCGGCCTTTCGCATGATGCATTCTGCATATAAGTTAAATAAGCAGGGGGACAATATATAGCCTTATTGTACGCCTTTCCCAATTTTGAACCAATCAGTTGTTCCATCTCCAGTTCTAACAGTTGCTTCCTGTCCCACATATAGATTTCTCAGAAGATAAGGTGGTCAGGCACTCCCATTTCTTTAATGAATTGCCGTAGTTTGCTGTGGTCCACGCAGTCAAAGGCTTTTGCGTAGTGAATGAATGATAAGTAGATGTTTTTCTGAAACTCTCTGGCTTTCTCCATAACCCAGCGCATGTTAGCAATTTGGTCTCTAGTTCCTTTGCCCATTCAAAATCCAGCTTGTATTTCTGGGAGTTCTCGGTCCCCATACTGCTGAAGCCTACCTTATAGGATTTTGAGCAGAACCTTGCTAGCGTGTGAAATGAGTGCTATTGTACGGTAGTTGGAGCATTCTTTGGCACTGCCCTTCTTTGGGATTGGGATGTAGACTGATTTTTCCAATCCTCTGGCCGCTGCTGAGTTTTCCAAACTTGCTGGCATATTGAGTGTAGCACCTTAACAGTCTCATCTTTTAAGATTTTAAATAGTTCCACTGGAATGCCATCACCTCCACTGGCCTTGTTGTTAACTGTGCTTTCTAAGGTCCACTTAACTTCACTCTCCAGGATGTCTGGCTCAAGGTCAACAACCACACTATCTGGGTTGTCCGGGACTTCCAGATCTTTCTGGTAAAATTCCTCTGTGTATTCTTGCCACCTCTTCTTGATGTCTTCTGCTTCTATTAGGTCCCTACCATTTTTGTTCTTTATCATGTCCATCTTTGCACAAAATGTTTCTTTAATATCTCTAATTTTCTTGAACAGATCTCTGGTTTTTCCCTTTCTATTATCTTCCTCTACTGTATATCTTTGCACTGTTCGTTTGAGATGGCCCTCTTGTCTCTCCTTGCTATTCTTTGGACGTCTGCATTCAATTTTCTGTAACTTTCCCTATCTCCCTTGCATTTGGTTTCCCTTCTCTTCTCTGCTATTTGTAAGGCCTCGTTGGACAGCTACTTTGCTTTCTTGCCTTTCCTTTTCTTTGGGATGGCTTTTGTTGCTGCCTCCTGTATAGTGTTATGAGCCTCCATCTATAGTTCTTCAGGCACTCTGTCCACCAAATCTAGTTCCTTAAATCTGTTCTTCACTTCCACTGTGTGTTCATAAGGGATTTGGTTTAGATTATACCTGACTAGCCCAGTGGTTTTTTTCCTACTTTCTTTAGTTTAAGCTTGGGTTTTGCTCTAAGAAGCTGATGATCAGAGCCACAATCAGCTCCAGGTCTTGTTTTTGCTGATTGTATAGAGCTTCTCCATCTTTGCCTGCAGAGAACATAATCAATCTGATTTCGGTATTGCCCATCCGGTCATTTCCATGCGTAGAGTCGCCTCCTGTGTTGTTGGAAAAGAGTGTTTGTGATGACCAGCTTGTTCTCTTGACAAATCTATCAGCCTTTGCCCTGCTTTATTTTGAAGTTGTTCTTTGTTCTGGTTGTATTATAGCTCACTTGCATGCATTCACAGACTGTGCTCAAATGCCTATTTAGTGTTAACAAATGCCTATTTGGATTGGTATTGGTATCTACTAATTGCATCTAAAAATAGCTGAAATCATTTTTTTTCAATTATGTAGGCATTCAGTTATGATGACACAGATTAAGATAAATTCTTCTGGTGAATAGTAGCTTTAAATACTAAAGTATTTCCTAGTTTTGCAATTGTAAAACAAAACAAACAAAAAACACCATAGCCAATTGTTAAATAAATCTGTGCTAGCATTGCTGGATATATACTGTAGATCTGTGGATTAAGTCTTTATGTTTCAAAACAATTCACATGGTTGTGTGGAGTATTGCAACTTCTGTTCAATGTCTGTGTTGCTGCAGTGGTTGAAATATTGCTGTTTGTTTTTTCCCTGTTAGATGACATGCATAGAACAACAGTCCCTCCTAGATCCTAATTCAAGTCCACTGTTCACTCCGTTAACAGTGAAGGAAGGAAGCACTCCATTAGAACAGTGTGTGTTGTCCTTCAGCCAGTTTAGTGGGACAGAAAGAGACTCTTTAACAGACTTGGCAGAACTGCTTGGGGCTAGGTATGTGCTATACCATTCGCTCTTTGAAATTTTTTGGCATCTTGTTGTATTAAGCCTCGAAATATTGAAAGAGGACAAAAGTTTCCTTTTGGTTTTTAAGAAACTGTTCCATTTGGTCATGAAAATAGCAGTTGAACTATTAAAAGGTTCTTTTTCTTTTTTAAAAAAAGGTGAGAAATAGAGAGTAGTTTTTTGTTTTTTTGAGGAGAAGAGTATCGTATATATGAAATAATGTATCGGATTCTTTTTAAGGACAATTTTGTAGTGGGGCTTTGTATGACAATATCATCTTATTTTGATTTTAGAGTTCAAGACTTCTTTGTGAGAAGAGCCAATCCAAGGAAAGGGATGCTTGTCAGCACTCACCTGGTGGTGAAGGAGCCCCAGGGTTCCAAGTATGAAGCTGCAAAGAAATGGGACCTTCCTGCTGTTACCATGGCTTGGCTCCTGGAGTCGGCAAGGACAGGAATCAAGGCTGATGAAAACAAGTTCCTGGTTGACAGTGTAGTCCCAGAAGGTTGGTTTGAAGCTTTGTAGGTGCATTTAATGGCAAGAATGTTAAAGATGGGCTTTATAAACGGAACCTGTTCATAAGCTCTCACTGAGCATTTCTTTTTCTTTCTACAGTTGAAGAAGAACAGGCTGTGTCATCATGCCCCATCTCTCTGCATTTGGCAGAGAACATTAGACTAGGGGAGTGTGTTTCTGTTGGTTTTACTGGGCCTTAGAGAAGTTTTGATTCTGCTAACTTCAGGATCTTTTTCAGGCATCTGTCTGGTTTAGGACTTGGAGGCCGTATTCTTTAATGGCTTCAGCTCTTAGAGAAGCAGTTGTAGGAAGTGGTATTGGGAGGGGGCTTTGGTTTGATATCATGGACTATAGGCATCTCTCATAGGTGAGAGAGAGTGTTCAAGATTTTGGGGGTTCAGTATCCACCAATATTTTGATGACATCTTAACTGTATCTCTTCTTTCCATCTAAGTCTAGGAACCTATTAAAAATAAATCAGTTGATGTTGTTACTGGGCCGGATGAGGGTAAATGAATTAAAGCTTAGTCCACAAGAAGATAAAGGTACTCTTGGCTAGTCAAAATTCAGAACACGAAGTAGGGTTTTAGCCTGTATTAGAAGGTTTACACTCCCATTGAAGACTCGAGTCCGGGTGTACTCCTGGATTAAGCAGAATGTTTTGCTCAGTTGATGCTCCCAATTCTAAAGATGTTTAATCTTGTCACAGTGATATGGGCCTTAGTTACTTCTAGTTTAGATTACTGTATTTGCTATATTTTGGACTGCCTGTCTTTAAAAAAATATTTTTCACTTTTTAAAAAACAATGGTGCTTTTTATATTTTTAACACAAAAAAGAGAGCTTCGCAAATCAACCAAATGGAGAAAAAATAGAAGCAGCATCTCCAAATACTCCTGGGCAACCTAACAGTATCTTTAGAACTGAGAAGGCAACAGCTGTGACACCTCTGGATATGAACAGGTTTCAGAGTATAGCTTTCCAGACCATTATCTCTCATCATATTGGAGAAAAGCCAAGTCCTTCAGAAGGTGGGAAACCACTACAGAAAGAACCATCTGTGCATCTGGACACACCATCTAAATTTTTATCTAAAGACAAGCTCTTCAAACCTTCCTTTGATGTTAAGGTAAATATCTTGGAAATCCTGCTGGATAGCTCAGTGGTTTAGGTATCTGGTTGCAGAGCCAGAGGTTGGGGATTCGATTCCCCACTGTGCCTCCTTGATAGGAGCTGGACTCCGTGATCCCTGGGGTCTCTTCCAGCTCTGCAGTTCTAAGGTTATAAGAGTATTATAATGAATGTTTGAGGGTAATTTGATAACAGTAGCTGATATTACAAGCACATCAAAAACTGTGTAAGCATTATAGATGAAAACAGTAAAAATAAAAAGTTTTTAAAAACCCACGAAAAACAGGGTGGCACCTTAAAGACTAACTTTTATTTTTTTCATGTGAGCTTTCATGGACAAGTCCACTTTATCAGACATAAGAGAAGGAGATATAACATGGCAAATGTTTATACATGGCGTCAAGGTTGTGGTTGGTTGGTGAGAAAGTCAGTGGGTGTTGAACATTGTGATGATGGTGCCTTTGATGTGCAGGTCTTAGTAGAAGCTTATGTTGTAATGAATGTGAGAACCTCTGTCATAGATTAACAAAAATAAAATAATTGTGATAAAATAAAAATCGTTATCTTCTACTAAGACCTGCATATCATTACAATGTTCAACAATGTTCTTGTTCTTTGTCACTGAAGTAAACCATAAATCCAATCGGGGAAAAATGGAAGGAGAGCTGGGAGGTGCACCTCTCAGGCATTCCTTTGTTCTTGCACCTTGTAGGCCATTCAGTTTACCCGGGAGTCTTTAATCCTCATCTGCTAAGGTTTTTGTTTTGTTTTGTTTTAAGAATGAGCCCATGAGCATTCCATCCTCTTGAAGGTTAGCAACAGGGTCAAGTTTAGGGTTAGGGTTTAGTGGATATATTTTGTATTTCCTCAGTTCCTGTGAATGGAATCGATTTATTGAAAACTAGATTAAATCCTTTTTTGCATCTTGGTGTTGTGGTTTGCCAAACCCATTTTTTTTTCATTTTGTTTCAGCTCTTTAGGTTATTTAGAATGCTCACAGAGCAGTTCTGTGTGAACTCTGCAATAAAAAGTGACTTAGGGGACTTAAGTGCCTTTCTTGATGTGCATGGTTAATATTAGTGCAAGTCCCCGCTAAGCCTCTTTTTCTGTTTTTTCCTTCTTAAGAAAACCCTATATTTCTCTAAGGTTGCCTTCCAGAGAATCAAAAGGAGAGCTATCTGTCCCTTTCCAGTTCGGATGATACAAACTACATTTTGTAATCCCAGCTAAAATAAATGCACAGGTTAAGGGTTTTTTCCTGAAGGGGGCTGATGTTCTGCCTCTTTCAGTTGAAGTATATTAAACTGAGGTTGTGTGTGTGTGTGTGTGTGTGTGTGTGTGTGTGTAAATGAGCTGAATTATGAATCAATAGAAAAGAACATCTGGAGTACAAACAGGTGGCAGTTTTCCATGGGTTGCTTAGCTGCATCATATCACATCTTGCAGTGTGAAGAACAGTCTTGGAGTGGGGAGCTGCTAGGCATTCATCCTAATCTCAGAGGCACTCTCAACTCTGTGTCTCGCAAATATGATGCCTGTTGGGTTCCTTAGCTATTGAGAGGTAATTGTGAGCTTGTGTTTTAGGACCGGGAGCCTAAATGTGTGAGTGGCTCTGTTTATCTCATCTTGCAAAAAGTAAGACAAATACGACTCTTGGCTGAGAGAAACAATAAATTTCATTTTCTCAGAATAGACCAGTTGAATATCTAGTTCTATGATGTGACTTGAAGAAAAGAATTTACTATCTTCATAATTTAAACCACTTTTGTTTCTTCTGTGGAAAATCCTTTCCACAGAGGATCTCTTGGGCCACCTCATGTTTTGAACCTCCTCTTTCTGAAACCTACTTGCAAAATGTTAAGGAAGTGTAGGAGTTAAAGTCTGAAGCATCTGGAGGACCAAAGGTTTTTCACCTCTCTTTTGAGATTATAGAACCTTTGGATATTTAATTAATGCATTTCAATTACTTTTCAGGATGCTCTGGCAGCCTTGGAGACTCCAGAGGGCTCTAAACAGCGAAACAGAAAGCAGAGCACTCCTCTTTCGGAAGTCATTGGCAGGAACCTAAAACTGGCCTTGGCAAACAGCACACGTCAAGCAGCCACTCTTACTGCCAGTCCTCTACTGAAAGCGGCACCTCAGCAAGTGGTGAGCTTAGGTTTCAGGTTGATCTGGGCAAATACGGTACCAGTTAGTTGGTCTTGTTTGGATGCTACTTATTTCCCCTCCCCCCAAAATGTTTTTTTTTTAATTTTGTCAGCACTATATTGTGTGTCAATCGGAAGAAGAGAAATTGCACACTTGGTTTTAGTCCACAAATACTTGCAGACAATGGTGTGGTCTGACAATAGTATTTTTTATTTGTATTTGCATTTTTTTCCAACGGCTCAGTTTTTCCTTGGAAGATTTCCCATATTTATAGATTATTTGTCTGTAAAATTCACTGAGTCAGGCCATGCCATATTGTGCAAAGGAGTTTTTTAATATGCTAAAATTTGGCTATCAAAATTTTCAGTGTCTTCTTTTTTCTTTAAATTAAAAAAAAGGGACAAAGTGAACTCAGAGTAGATCCATTGTCATCACTGGGACTTAATTATGATTAATTTAAATCATAATGATTGCATTGGGTCTGCTTCAACTATGATTAAGGCTGGCTTCAACCTGATGTAAGGGGAGTATATGTTGTTATCTGTATATTTTTACAACTGTTAACAGCAGAACATTATGTGTCCTGTATGGTATTTACTTGGGTGAAGCCCCAGCTATGGAAATTCCCATACCAATCTGATGAGATGGTTGTTGGATCACAGGCAACCAACGCCTCATAAGATTACTGCAGCAGTTTCTACAGCTAGAGATCCTTGTGTAAATTTTGAACAGATGGTGACATGTGTATGCCTTATTCGTTGTTCCCATATTCAGATGCTTCAGAGTAGATTTTAAAATGTTTTGTTGTTGGCCATGAGGGAAAACAAGTCCAAATCCATATTAGTGTAATACCTTTATTAGGAATTCTTAGTACCTTTATTAGAAATTTGTGCCAAAATGGCAGATCACACCATCAAGCAGCATGTTTAAAAATACAGGTCATGGTGAGAAGAGAAAGGAAGGGTAGGAAGGAATTGTGATTTGATTTTGAACCCATGGTATCTCATACACTCTTCAAATGGTATGAAGCAGATTCAAATAAGCAGGTTACGTGATAGTTTTAGGTTTCATAAATCCTCCAGGAACCTGGGTAGCAAGAAAGGCAGAAATGTTTGTTCTTCCAATTTTTGAAAAAATAAAATCCACCTGATTCTTTGCTGGTGGAAACCAAAAGCAAACCAGATAGTCTTTCTATTAAGAAGGCAATCTCGTCAATTCATTCTTGAAACTGTTGAAAACATGACTATATTTTTCCTAATTCCACTTGTATAGGAAGAAGAGTCAAAACCTCTAGCTGATGTTGTCATATGTGTGAGTAAGAAGCTAAGTAAAAAGCAGAGTGAGCTAAATGCTATTGCTGCTTCCCTTGGAGCAGATTACAGGTATGTGCAGTTAACAGAATTCTTCACTGGTGAAACTTTTAATGAAACTAGTAAAACTAACTCTTAAGGATATTAGTAATGGCAGTAGTGTGCCTAAAGTTTTCTAGTTGCTATCGTTCTGATTATAGCTCAGTGGCCTAGTACGAAAGAAACAAGAAATGGAAGAGGAACAAAATAGTCTGCCTTTCATTTGGCAAGGCAATTTCCTAATTCCTAGGATGCTACAATTCTTTGTTTAGGAGTAATTTTAATACCTGTTGTCATCTAAAATTGCATAAAATTAAGCCTATGTATCAGGGATACTGAATTAGCATTTTGATACTCACACATCATGCCCTTCCCCCTGAAACTGATTATTACCTAACGTGGCATTCTTATCTTACATTTATTCCAGGTGGTGTTTCGATGAAACTGTAACTCATTTCATCTACCAGGGAAAGCAAAACGATAGTAACCGAGAGTACAAATCAGCTAAAGAAAGGGGTGTACATATCGTGTCGGAACATTGGCTTTTGGAGGTATAAGAATCACCTTAACTTTTAGTTCTCCCCTGCCCTCACTTTCTATTATCAGTAACAATATTACATAGTAGATATTTCTAGTGCTATCCCTCAGTTAATTAAATCCTTTTTATTTACATCAGTATATGTGTACTGAAGTAAATTGCAGCAGCAAATTGTCACTAATCAGTAAGGCAGGGAAAGTGCTCACGGTCATCACGTACCAAATCCTGTGACCCAAAACGTGAACAGCAACTCATTAATTACTGGCAGTTTGCTGCCATGATTTACACTATTACATTTATACCAGTGTATTAATCCTCACTAGGTCCTGGCCAGTGTTGGTGTAAATGTCACTTCTTAATTGCAGCCTTCATCAGCATAAATCTCTAGTAATTTCAAATGAAATCATAGGTGGATTGTTTCTCTCTTTTCCTGATGGTTGGAGCGAAGAAGCAGCCTCTTCGCCACCAACGGTTTGAATTTCCCTCCCTTTCCCCCTGCCTTTTTGTTTTCTTAAGTGGAAGCTCCGGCTACAAGTCGAAGCAAAATTTTGCAGCCGGAGCTTTTCATAAGTAGGGATGTTCGTAAGTCGAGGCCCCACTGTACTCAAGTTACTGCTGTATATGTTCATCTGGGCTTGATGTGTAGCGACTGTGCTCAGAATTCTAACCTTATTTTTCAGAATAGTGATCAGAATGTTTTAGCAGGGTGTCTCATGTATCAGTTATTTGCTGGAAAATACAGTGGACTTTTGACGTATGCACGGCTCGACGTGCATACTTTTTGAGGGCTGGACTTCTCAGGCTGCAAGATTTCCAGTCGACTTGCGGCTGGAGAATCGACCTACGGACTGGAAGGGGGAGGCAGGGAAAGTGCCAAATTCACATTTGGCACTTTCCTCACCTCCCTCTTCCAAGTCCGTAGGCTGCCGATCGTGCCTCCAGATGCCTTCCACGGCTTCTCTGCCGCCATGAGAGGCATCTCAGAGGTCCCCCCCCCAGCAGCGGAGAAGCCCTGGAAGGCATCTGGAGGTCCCCCGCCGCCGCTGCTGCTGGGAGCCGCGCCACGCCGGATGATTCCAGCCATGGTTAGACTCTTGGACTTCACCTGCTGCCGCCGCTGCTGGGAGCCGAGCCATGCCGCACTTGGACAGCAGCGGCGACGGCGGGGGGAGTCCAGGAATCTGACCATGGCTCCTGGCAGCGGCGGCGAGGGGACCGGAGGCCTCAGATGGCAGATGGTTCCCCCCCCTGCCGACGCAGGCTTTCCCAGGGTGGACCGGGCCTACCGGGGGAAGCCCTCCCCTGGAAGGCCCAGTCCATCCTGGGAAAGCCTGCATTGGTGGGGGCGGGGGACCTCCGAGAGGCCTCAGGCAGCGGCGATGGTGGCGGCGGGGGGCCCCTGGAAGGCTTAAGAAAGGTAAGTTCTGTTTATTTTCAGTTCTTTTTCTGTATGGGTTTTTTTTCTTGGGCCAGTTACGGATTAAATGGTTTTCAATGCATTTCTATGGGAAATGCATTTTCGACTTACAGACTTTTCGACCTATGGATACAGATTAATTCCGTAGGTCGAGGGTCCACTGTGTTACCATCCTCTTTGTGTAAATGTATGCTATGGTAAAAGCATTAATCGTTAAGGTCTAAAGTTATCTCACCTCTGGGGACTTCCAGATGTTCTTTCACTTGTAGGTACCTGCTTTTGCACTGCTGCTGGTGGTATTTTCCCTACTGTCCAGGCAATGCAAAGCTTGGTACCAAGAGTAACAAAACTTTGACTTTCTACACTTTTTACCCCCACCCACAGCTAGGATATTTTTTCTTGCTTTGGCCAGAGTTTAGGTAGTAAATGCTTCACAAGCGGGAAGCTTTCTGACTTAGCCATGAACCACAAACAAAAACTCAGCAGAGAAGATCACTTTCAAAGAATTTTCTTAAGATTTTTTTAAAGGAGTTGTTTTCAAAAATGGTTGATTTCCACAGTAGATTAACAGTAAGTAGATGTCCATTACCACAAAGGATCTAGTTGGAAGCCTTCAGTTTTAGCACTAATACACCACTAAAACACATGAACAAAAGTCCAGGAGACAGGCTTGTTCTTAAAGGCGTTCTTCAAGCTTTTAGAAATGTTTTTGAACAATTTGTTAAAGAAATGCTGAATTCTTTAAACAAAAGTAGTGTTTTAAGAATACGTTTGAACAGAAACTCTGATAGGTTCCACACTTACTCAGCACCAAGTGATGCAAATGGAGGAGCAAATGCTATGTATTACATTCAGAGTAATCTTTCAGAAGAACATGCATTTTATTCCATTGGGGAGAATAGAAAATGTTTTCTTTTAATCAGTAATTATTTCTTCATTTTTCTTATTATAGATCCGTAACATTCGTCCCTATTTTTATAATAGTAATATAATAGTGCTCTTAAAACTACAGAGCTGGAAGGGACCCTATGGATCATCAAGTCCCTCTCTTTTCTAGAAGGCACAGTGGGGAATTGAACTCCCAACCTGTAGCTCTGGAGCCAAAGACCTAAATCACTAAGCTATCCAGCAGTTCTTTTTTTGTGTTCACATTTTTCAGAGTGCACAAGAGTACAAAAGGTTACCTGAATCTCTCTATCCTCATACATATAATCCTAAAATGAGTTTGAATATTAGCGGTGTCCAGGATGACAGATTCTCCGATAGGCTTGACTCAACCGGAAAAACAGTGAAGGAAGATGAGGTATGGCAGATGCAACCATTTTGTTCTTTGATTCTTTTTGATACTCTGTTTGGATAATTTAACAGAACAGCTTATGGCTTTCTGAACTGTTCTTGCTTTGATTGTGTTGATTTTGAAATCTTGTCAGTGTAAGAAACGTTGAGGGTTTTTGTTGATATACCAGCTAGTCTTTATAGCACCACAAAAATAAGAACAATGCAGAGCTTTGGAACAGTTACCAAGTGGCTATTTTAACCCTGTTTTTCTGGGAACTAAAAAATTAACTTTTTCAAGTTCTGCAAGAATGTTCATAGAATCATAGTATAATAAACTTGGGATGGGCTTATAAGGCCATCAGGTCCAACCTGCTGCTCCATGCAGGAATCAAAAGTAAGATCTGACAGATGGTTGTCCCAATTTTCCTTTGAATGCTACCATTGTCATACTGCTCTGACAATTAAGACATTTTTCTGTATATTTCAGCCTAAAACTGGCTCTCACCATTATTATGTGTCCTGCACTCTGGGATGATCAAGACAGAGTATAAACAATTAGGTATATACAGCCGCCTTAAGCTGCTGAGGGGAAGGGATGTAGCTCAAAGTTAGAGTTGCATAGAAAAGTTAGAGTGGCATGCTTTGCATAGAAAAGGTCCCAGGTTGTCCCCAACATCTCCAGGTAGGACTGGAAAATATCCTTGCCTAAAAGTCTGGAGAGCTGCACCCAGGCCATGTAGATTAGGGGGTGAGTAACATGTTGCTCCCACAGTGCCTAATATTTTTTAGATTTGTTTTGGGGGAAAAAATGTTTCTTGCAAAAACCAAAAACAAACTACCCTTGTAGCTGAAAACATAGGGGGTATAGGGGGCAATTTTGCATCCCTGGAACTAACTCCCTGAATTTAATTTTGTTCAAAAATATATTCTTGATTACTAAAGAGACTATTTTTCAAAACTCCAAATTTTGTAAGTATTTTGGGAAATTTTGCATGGGAGCAGCTGGGCTCGACAGTCTTGAGACTGGGCTGTACAGTCCACCCCAATGTGTTTGCTTCAAAGCTGTGGGTGGGGTAGGGTGAATGACTGTATAAAGTACCATCCTGCTTTAGTTAGATTTTGATAGTCCAGATATAGATGCATTTTTGAATGGTTATATTAGTAATTTTTGTTAGTTTGTAAATTGTGTCTGTTATTCCCCAAGTGTTAATATTAAACATAGGGAAAATGGTGATTAGTTGGGATTTTTCTCCCTGAGTTGTCACCTGAGTTCAGGCATGAATTCCAACTGTTTCAGAATATTTCAATGGATGAGAATGATCCAGAAGATCAAGCAAATGAGGCAGCAGCTGTTGAAAAAGAGGAAAGCGCAATAAAAGGAGGTATCTTGTGGTGGTTGTATGCCTTGACCTTATCAAATATTCCAGAACTTTTCTGTGAATTCTTAAAATGCATGATATGAAGAAGTATATAATATTTAATACACTAGTGAAGAAGACACCCATGTGGCTTTTGTGGTGTGGCATTTAATATACTTTTCAATGGATATGCTTAAATTCAATTAATTGAAATTTCTTTTCTGCCCAAGTTTTAACACAGACACTTGAAATGAGAGAGAATTTTCAAAGACAGCTAAAAGAAATCATGACTGCAACATCTCTCCCAAAACTCCAAGGGCAAAGAAGTTCTCTGTCTAGGAATGGCACCGAGAGCTCTCCATCAACTCCAGATGGGCCTCGTTCTGTGCGCAATGGCCGCAGTCGAGTCTTGGAAGCCCTAAGGTACAAGCAACCTGGAAGGTGACTGCACCTTGAGGTTTCTGGGCTGTGATCTTTAGATCACTTGAAATTATTCAGTCAAGTATTTTGAGGTCTCTGCTGCATCTACCTGAATGAATGAATCAATGAGACTATTTTACGTTGAAACGTGGCTTGCTTGTTCAGTTGTGTGTATGTGCAGAGTTTAGATTGGAGCGGATGGGTGGGGGACAAAATGTATCCCGTGGGGGCTGTATTGCCTGAAAACTGAATCATAGAATTGGAGAATAAACCCAACTGTCATCTAGTCCAATCTCTTGACAATTCCATGAATTCACAGGTAAAGTGGCCACCCAGCCTTTGAAAAAAATAAAAAACTTCAGTGAGGGAAGATCCACCATTTTCCGAGGTAGCCTGCTACACAGTCAGGCAGCTGCTAGTGTCAGAAAGTTCTTTCTTCTGTTCAGTGAGAATCTCCTTTCTTATAATTCACATCTGTTGCTTCAGGTCTTACCCTCTGGAGAAGCAGACATCAAACTAATAAAGATAATAAATGAATTTATTTTCAGTAACAAAAGCAAAAGTGACATATGTCGTGACTTTCCAACCCCAGTTGAGGAGGTAGTGAACTTTTCCACTAATTTTTACACTTGCAAGTCACACACTCCTCAGGTGGCTCACAGTAAGATCCCTCCTTAGCACCTTTTATCCTCTTAAACCTAGTCACCACTTTTTAAAGCCATTAGGAAGAGTGTTAACCTGAAAGGACAAACTCCCCTCCTAAAAATCATAGACAAGTATTGGGGGGTTTCCCTTCTATTCTGTCTCATCAGAGCCTCCTTTCCCTAAGCTGATACCTTTTATATTTAGATGATGAGTGAAAGGTTTTCCTATTTTACTTAATTGCTTTGCTCCTATTGGTGGCACATAACTTTGTGAGATATGTTTCTTAGTTCCACACAAAATAAATAATTAGAAGAATTTGGTTAAAGCAAACCAAAAGGAAGGTTTTTGCCTGAGGGGACACAGGTAATTGGTATGAAAGAAAAGATTGATCTAAGATATGAATGATAAACATCAACACAACAATTATATAGTCTTTGTATAATTCAAGAGCAGACTTCTTCACAGACTCTAACTTTCTGATTTGCAGTGTGGATTCGCAATACAAACTTTTTCTAAGAAACTCTAGCACAGAGCATTTCTCCTAACTGATTACAGTGGGGTCTTGACTTAAGAACGGCTCGAGGTAAGAACATTTTGACTTAAGAACCACTCTCATAGGAAAATATTGACTTGACTTACATACTTAGATTTGCGTTACGAACTGAAAAAAAACCATGTGGGAGGCAGGGAAAGTGCAAAATGTGAACTTTCAGTTAACTGTTGGCCAGTGAAAAGGGTGCCTGTCTGCTTCCTCGCTCCTCCCAGCGTTTAGAGAGTAGATTGGGAGACAGTCTTCAGGCTGCCTGGTACTGTACTGCCTGGACTGTATTTTCCCTGCCTTCCCTGAACCTTTCTTGACCTAAGAAAAAAAGAAACAAACTATCCCCCTCTAGTGGTCGAAGGCGGAATAGCAGCTTCCCATTAGTTTCTATGGACGGAAAAGAGCAGATACGGATCAAATGGTTTACAATGCATTCCTATGGGAAATGCAGATTTGACCTGCAAACTTTTTGACTTGAGAACCGCCTTCCAATACGGATTAAGTTCTCAAGTCAAGACCCCACTGTAAATAGATTTCTTTTTCTCTCTTAACTCTCAGCTCTGACACATAGACCAGACTGCTCCCCAAAGCATACTGATTATGCTAACCAGTCAGCATTTTTAATCCAACTGCCAATCACAGTAGCACTCCACCATATAAACTATATAGGCATTCAAAACTGTTCGTATACAAAACGGGTATAGTTAATTCTTTCTGCTCTTCATAATTCATGGACATTTAGAAGGTTGGAATTGACGGACCATACAATTTTTGCGCACACAAATCAAACTGCTTTCACTTTGGCTTTTTTGGTTTCAGCATTTACAAGTTATGGGTTGGGGGAGAAGGATTTTTGTTATCACTCTCATCAAACCATTGAGAGCTTGGAATCCTTGCTGATGTACTTCAAATCACCCAGATTCCAACAGTGAATCCTAATATAGCTTCTGACTATGGCTACTGTTTCCATCCTGAAGGTTTGTTTTGTTCCTCAGGCAGTCCCGTCAGATAGTAACTGATGTCAACACGGAGCCATCCCAGAATGAACAGATTATTTGGGATGACCCCACTGCAAGAGAAGAGAGGGCAAGGCTTGCCAGCAACCTGCAGTGGCCAAATAGTCCCTCACAATATTCGGAACAAATTCAGCCAAATGCAGTAAATGTGGGTGACCTTTCACATAGAAAGTCCTTGACTGATACAGAAATTGCTGAAATGGGTAAGAAGAGAACATGACAGGTTGAGTTGCAGCCTTTGATCTTAGGTTTATAGCATATAAAAATACAGGGTGCCCCGCATAACAGCGATAATCCGTTCTGTCAAAATCGCTGTACAGCAAAATTGTCGTCATGCGAAAAAAAACCATTGGAATGCATTGAAAACCGGTTAATGCGTTCCAATGGAGAAATACCTCATCGTCCAGCGAAGATCGCCCACAGAGAACCGCCGATCAGCTGTTTAAAATCGCTGTCTTCCGAAGCTTCTGTCCGGAAAACAGCCATTTTGCAAAGGGAGCAGAGCCATTTTACGAAGGGAAGCCATTTTGTGGAGCCGGAAAAAAACATTTTGCGAACAAACAGTTCGCAAAGCAGGGATCTAATCAACGTAAAGCGAAAAAAACACATTGGAACCATCATTTTGCGATCGCAATAGCGATTGCAAAAAAGTCATTGGTCAAGCAATTTCGTCGTTATGCGGGGTCGTTGTCATGCGGGGCACCACTGTACTTATTTTTCATTGCTTTTATTGGTGAATGCATTTACTTGGTAGGTTCAGACATGTTTTTGTTCCAGCACTTGACTACATACTGAATCTATCAAGGAAGCCACATCCTTGAATTTCTAAGAGCTGAGCAAGTTTGCTAACGACAGTACATTTTGGAGATCACTCATTCATAGGTTACAATAAGTTGGAAACAACTTGACAGCACATAACAACAACTTGACTACATAGAGGGAATCTGAGACTATGTAAATGAAATAGCTGAACACCTGTGTACAAATTGCCTGGATAATTCCACTTCAAGCAAAACAGCTGTACTCTTCTACCACATATTTGTGTGAAGCAGGCCAAAAGCTTTATTGTTGCATAGTATATTTCAAATTGGCTTAGTTGGTTGTTCTCTCCATTATTGATGTGTCAACAGTTTATTACTAACTGTTGGCTTGATGGATTGACTCCCTAAAAGAAACCACAGGCTTGAGTTTACAGGAGCTGAGCAGGGCTGTTGAGGACAGGACCTTTTGGAGACTGTTCGTTCATTGGGTAGCCATAAGCCAGGGGTGACTTCTTGGCATGTAACAACAACAACAATTGTTGGCTGGCTTTGTGTTGGGATGATCTAGAAAGCCATCACTTGTAGCCAGTTCTCCTGAAGAGGGTGGATGCATCTTAGTCTGGGGTCTCAGCTGTGACCATTTTGCCTTTGGTGACCCTGCTACGAGTCCAGTCTTGTAACAGAGTCTGGCCTCCTGACAACTTTGCTCTCAGCTTCTCCGACACACTCAAACCTACCCACCACATTACATTGTGCATCCAAGAAGGGGGATTTTGTGTAGGTAAATAAAACTTTGGTTAACATCTTGATTATATTACCTGAACAGAAATTCCATTTGAAACAGTAGGGTTATTTCTGACTAAACCTGTTTTGGATTGGTGCGTCAGAGAAGAATTGTAAAAGCTGCTGCTTTTCAGATTTTCTGGGGACTTTTATTACTCTCAAATTTTTAATTATATTTTTTTATTCTCAAATAATTATTTTTCTTCTTTATAGGTGTTGAAGACCCTGCTAAAACAGATATAATAGAAGTGCCGACATTTCCATTATGTAGAAGTCCAGAAACGCCCATAAACGAAGGCCATCCCATCCCAACTCCGTTGGCTCCTGCCATTGCCTTTCCACTGGCAAATCCTCCTGTGGCTCCCCAGCCAAAAAATGATGTAGGCACTTTGTAACATAGTAATACTTGCACTGTGAAATTGTTTTCTAGTACCTATTTGAACTTCCATTTTAAGCAGATGATAAATTAGTCCTAAATTCCAAATCACATTTTTCTCTGAGCTTCCTAGCAATTGCTTCTAATCCCTTCTGTAATCATATTTGTCTTCTTATGATTGAAAGTAATAGAAATGTTGAAGCAAAATAGGAAATAACTGATTTAGTAATAATTGCATGTTGAGGGGTGTAGAAGTTCAGGAGTGAGTTTTGTTTACTAAGATTCCAAAGGTCTGACACATTTGTTGAAATATCCATAAGTCTGGATCTATGTCAAGAATTAAACTTTATTCTCATGTGTAACTGTCCAGCTCTGTGCCACAAAATCTGCTAGCTACCTAATTCTACCCTGTCTTCAGAGGCTTATTAAATACATTCTTTCAGCATGACTGTATGGCTTATAATGCAGTCTTGATGCAGAGGTACACTGGCTGTGATGGAGCTTTTTCTGCTTATTTTTCTTTTATGCAAGCAAAAATGCCTTCATGCTATCAGACTTTGCTTCTGCTCACTAATCCCAGAGATATGCTGTCAGAGAGATCTAGCAACAGGACTGCTCTGGTGGCTTAAATCTGCCAGTGGAAGAACCGAAAAGAAATGAAGTGAAAGCAGTTGGGTTATGTTGGATCCAAACTTCCTCTAGGCAAGCATAGTGTCATTTCAACAAGGAGAGTTCTTAAATACTGTATTTTTCACTCCATAAGGCACACCTGACCATAAGACACACCTAATTTTAGAGGGAGAAAAACGGAAAAAAGTTCTGTCATGCCTGGCTGTCTGGGCAGCGCTGCGGCGTCTCCCCCGTGGCCTGGGTGGCGGCAGGAACCATAACCCAAGTAGTAATTGTGGGCTCCCCACTCTTGTTTCTTGTTACCTGGTTTCCCCCCACACCCTTATTTTGGGGGGAGTGCAGAAGAGACACCTCAGCCAGTCCCTGATGGGCGTCCTGAGAGAGAGAAGAAAGAGGAGGGAGGTGGGAAGGAGAAGGTATGAAGAGGAGAAGCTGCCGCCACCGTGACAGTGAAGGAACGGCTGGCAGAGCGAAAAGGCGAGGGCGAGAAGAAAGCTGAGATGAACGAGCAGAAGAGAGGAACGCTATGGAGGGGAGGAGAAGGAGCTTGTTGCGCTCCCCCATTTCAAGTCTCCCCTCACATCGCATTCCGCTGGTGGCGGTGGCGGCTCTGACGTTCAGGTCCCGGCCTAGTGAGGGGGATGCGGAGAGATGAGAGAAACCCAGAGTGGGGGGGGCAACGGAAGAGGAGGAGTACAGCGGCATGGGCTCTGGGGGGTCTGCATCATTTTTACAATATTTGCTCCATATTTGCTTTTTTGGGGGGGAAGTGTGTCTTATGGAGCGAAAAATACGGTAAATTGCCATGGCCTAGGCTGGGAGGGGTTTGGGTTCAGCACGAATTTAGCTGGCCTTCAGCCTTCTTGTAAAGTTAGGATTGTGCGTCTACTTAAATAGCATCTGGCATCTTAGATAGTGTGCCATACTGTTATGGATTGAATCCTTCAACCTGTCTTCTTGTCTGGTTGCCTCAAACTCGTGTCTTTCAGGTCACAAAAATTGACCAAAAGGCCTCAGAAAAACAGCGTAGATTTCAGCTGTCTTCCCTCAACCCTCAGGAACGAATTGATTATTATCATCTGATTGAAGAACTAGGTAAGATAGTTATAAAGTTTTGGAGTTATTATTGGATTCCAGCTTTACAATGCAATTTATCCCAGAAAATATGGGGGGCTCAAAAAAAATTTTGTGACTTGCAAAAGAACTCTTAAATTTCTGTGGTATGGGCTACCTTTTACAATAACTGGTTACAATTCTTTTTTTTAAGGTGGGGTGGTGCTTGAGAAGCAGTGTTTTGACCCTAGCTGTACGCACACAATCGTAGGGCACCCTCTTCGTAATGAGAAATTCCTGGCATCCATGGCAGCTGGAAAGTGGGTGCTTCATCGTTCTTACCTAGAGGCATGCAGAGCTGCACGGTGCTTTGTAGAGGTATTTAACACAGCTAAAGATATGCTAGTTTGTAACTCCATTAGTTGCTTCTGTTCTAGATTACAACATGCAGCAACCTTGCTGAAGCTAAGCAGCCCTGGGTCTAGTCTGGGATGGGCAACTTTCTTGGGCTGGAGTCGGCTTCATTGGATCTCACCTATCCAGTCAAACTGGGGCCACGCTGCTGCTGAGGTTCATATGGCTGCTGCAGTTGCTATCCTAATTCAGCTGGAAGTGGAGCAGTTCTCTGTGCAGCTGTGGAGTGCTAGAACATCCACCTGGTGCATGGAAGCGCCACCGAGTGCAGCTTGTTTTTCCCCTTCTGTTCAGAGGAGATGATGTCTGGACCCCTGACCGTTCACTTTTATTTGGTGCAGCCGTCTATTTGAAAGGCTGTACAGTGGTGCCTCGCAAGATGATTTTAATTCGTTCCACGAAAATCGTCATCTTGTGAAAAAATCGTCTTGCGAGGTTCCCTATGCATCAGTCTCAAAAAAAAAGTCTTGTGAAGCCTTGGTCTAAGAAAAAAGTCTTGTGAAGCGGGTTTAAAAAAAAGTCTTGCGAGGCACCATAGTGATCGCAAAAACCAATCGTCTTGCGGGTTTTTCGTCCTGCGAGGCAGTCGTCTAGTGAGGCACCACTGTACGTAAGCAACCATTTGTTTGAAAGACGAGGTTCTTCGCATAGAGAATAAGGTCCTAACATTTGTGTTCTTAACAACTGTACTCTCTGAATTATGCACCTGAGAAGCATGCATTTCTGAGCAGGAAGCATTTTGAACAGAAATGTGAACCCTTGTTGAGGTGACAATAATCTAATTACATTTGGAGATGATAACTCTTGGCTCCAGTGCAGAGAAGGACAAATTCCAGCCATGGTAGGTGTCCAGTGTCAGAGGGTGGGCTGTCTTTCGAAACACAGTGAGTTTCAGGAGCAGTTTGCGATGAACAGGAAGGAAGAGAGGTCATTTTACCTAAGAAAGCAAGTTCACATCCCATAGGCCCACATAGAGTCCTCAGGTGTAGTTACAGGAGCTGTATGTCAATGCTGATAAAAATAAAGTACAAAGATTTCAATTGTTAGCCGTTATTCTCCTATCATGTGTGATTGTACTTCAGTGGTTCACTCTTGGGGGTTTATTTGAAATTTCCTGTTGGACTTGCCAGAATTGGTAGGCATATAACTGTGTTGTATGATTCTAGGAGGAAAATTATGAATGGGGAAGTAACTCTATACTCACTGCTCTGCCTGGAATCAATATTGTACAAAGGAAATTAGCAGTTGCAGCTATGAGATGGAGGAAAACAATACAAAGAAGGAAAGAGGAAACGGGAATTACTGAGGTATGCTAAATGTGTCATACTCAGTTATGTTCTTTCTAGTGAGAGATGTTCTTGTGAGCAGAAAGTACTGGTGAGTGAATTCTGCCAATTTCCTCCCCCCCCCCCCAGCTTTCATGCCATTTCAACCCTCAACAGTGGAGCACATGCTGGGGAGTTGCAGGGGAGGGGGAGCTAGTGAAAAATATTTCCTTTTTCACTCACAGAACATCAAGATGTCTTCCACAACTTAGATCCCATGTATCTTCTTAGTATCTTCTGTAAATCAGAATCTATGTTAGTTTCTAGATGCAGGTTTGAAAAAAAATGACCAGAAGACTCTGAAGCAAGTGATTTAGTCCAGAAAACTGGGGTGTGAGTGGAAGTGGGGGGAAATGTGACAAGTTCTAACCATAAAACTCCTGTGTAACAGCTGGGTTGCCTGTGACAATACCATATTTTTTGCTCCATAAGACGCACTTCCCCCCAAAACATGTGGGGCGGGAGTCTGCGTCTTATGGAGCGAAGGCAGCAATTTCGTCCCCACTGGCCCCATGGGGGGGAGCGTCGCAAGGGTCCGGGTGAGCCTTCCAGGACCCTTGCGACACTCCCCCCATACCCCACGGGGCCATTGGGGACGAAATCGCCAGCTTCCAGGTGGGGGGAGCGTCGCAAGGGTCATGGAAGGCTCACTCGGACCCTTGTGACGCTCCCTCCACACACACACCCACGGGGCCAGCACAGGCGAAATCACCAGCTTCTGGGAGTCTTTTGAGGCTTGGGAAGCTTCAGAAGACTCC